AAGTAAAACGTGCAGTAGGAATGCAATAAAGTACATAGGCGCAGGTAAAATCACAAAAACCAACCAACAGTTTTATGCCACAAAGACGAACATGAGTGGATAAAACCCTGCAGGGAGTCAATAGCTGAATATACCTCAATAAAAGAACTCAGTCATCAGTGCTGTCAGTGATTCCACCAAAATGAATGGTGGTAGCACTTATGACTGACAGTAATAAGGTTTACAAACAGCTCTATTCAATTGTGAGAAGGAGTCTAGACAGTTTTTCTGCAGTGAGTGAATAATGGGACAGCTAGTTAAGGAAAAAAAACTCCTGAAAACCGTTTAACATTGGCTGAGAATAGACAATGGAAAATACTTTACTACTATACTAAAATTTCTCGGCCCATTTTGTTTGTTTTTCTGTGGATGACTGTGGATATTATGAGATATTAACAGCGCAGCTACAGAGGTAGGCTATATAATATTAAAAAAAATAACGTTTAAATAGAAGGGCTACAAATGCAGCACCAATTTCTTTCAGTTATCTAAAACATCAACAGTAGGCTAAACATCCTGTTTTAGTGTCAGTCCCTCAGGATTATCGAGCAAAGCACTCTTAGACTCTTCATTTTGCACAGACTTTCAACTGTCACACAGGGAGAAAGAAATCCACCAAGAGAGGGAGGAATACACAACAATCTCTCCACCGACAGTGGCCTCAAGGGACCACAGTACAATGCATCCAGCAGACGAGCTGTGTTATCAGTAAAAGGATACGATTCTCCCCTTTTCTCTGCTGAAAAAAAAAAAAAAAAGTGTTCCCTTGCTGTCAGTATCACTACTTGTCTCGTTATTGCTCATTACCTGAACACAAAACTTAAAGCTAAATACAAGTTCACACCTTCTGTTGGGGTCGTGGGAAATGCAGGAAATCTTCTAAAGTACGTGTCGACACGAAGGCAGGTTGAGGGGAATGTGTGGGATTCACCAAAAAGAGAAGAAATTACAACAACTTCAGCACAAAATAACTCCTGGATTGCAAGGACTATCACAGGCTGATGAGATCTCAGTGGTGTGCAGGGGGAAAAGCGGGTAAGGTGACGGGAGGTCTAGGTGTTTATGCAGCAGTTTTTCCATCTACAGTGAAGTTTTATTTTCTTTCTTTAGGAGCAGGTAGTTACCTGGGTGGGCCTGGTTGGAGGCAATCTTTTCTGCCCTTTTCTTTTCCCCTGGTGTCGTGCAGCTCCTTGATGGGTAGCAGCTGACAGCCGATGACCCGCTCAGCAGTCAGCGGCGCAGACAAGGTGCCACAGTTTGTCCTTGGAAGCAGGAGGAGGCCGAGCCGGACTGACAAAAGGACACTTTCAATTATTGCCTCGGAAAAAAAAATTGGACTGGGATAGGTTGTGTGGTGTCAAGTTTTCTCAGATGTCACAGGAAGAAGAACAACTGTTGTGCTCTGCTAATTAGGCAGATGTTTTCTTTCCATCTGCAGGCATCAGTGGATTCAAGTGCATTCATGTGTGTGTGTGTGTGTGTGTGTATATGTGTGTGTGTAGGCTACATGACATGCATGCCCTCTGCAGAAGAGATCGATGTTTGTATGAATATGAAGAAGGCGGTTATAGGGAAAAATGGTCTTGCAGCAGATATAGTGATTTATTAGACCGCTCTCACGCACACAAAGACTCTCACAGAAGGAGAGAAAGACAGAGTGGGAGCAAGCGAAGGAGAGAGACAGTGAGAAAGTTCGCTCGAGGCAATATTACCCACCTCTGTTGTCTTAAAATCTAGCCCTCAGCCATGTAGTCAGGAGCTGTGTCAATATAGGTTATTATATACACACACACAAACACCATGGAAGGGCGCCATGCATGACAAACGTCTTCTATATAAATATCTACACATCACATGAAATGAAATAAAGTCAGAGGATGTGAGCAGGCGTACAGACAGCTGAGAGGATGCTAACACATGGTCTGATAACACGTTTGCAGCCAAGGATGCTGTCACTAGAGTAGATTCATTGTCTCACTCTGGGACTCATTAAAGCACACTACTGGTATGGTCATTATGTGGGCACCCAAACTGAGTAAGTGTTGTCCCCTACCCTTGAAAACCAAGGCTCATTAAAACACACGAGAGCAAATGAGAGCTCCAAAGGAGCAGGCGTGTGTGACCCATTTTGGCTCGTGACTATGGCGTACAGTAGTTTGCTGTGCGACACACACACACACACACACACACACACACACACACACACACACACACACAACAGGCACACACACACAGAGCAACACACACAACACACACACACATCTTTAATAGTGAACTGGCTGCCACTCTGAGACAGGGTGTGGATGAAGGCCACACATGTCAAATGTGCCAAATGAAATCACATTAGTAACTTAAGTGAAATCTAATTAAATCAAGTTGAATCAGCAGCTGAAGCGGTAAAACCCCTGCTGGTTGGCTCTCTGCCCCACAGCCATGACACGATCTCACGCTTCTGGTTACAAAAGGGAGTTTTCTTCTTAGTAGGAGTTCAAACACAAAGGACTGCAGCAGCCCTGTTGTTGCTGTTGTTGCTCTTCTTCTTTTTCTGCTTTCCCTTAATTCCCCCCCAAAGCACTTGGAGCTCACAGACCGTACAACCTACACAGCCAAGGTTTCCAGATAGGTCTGAAATTTCATCCGGTACTCAGGCAATAAAAGTCATGCCAGGGGTGTCTTAATTGACCACCAGCTTATACAATCAAACTATTAAACAGAGGCAATAAAACGGTCTTATGTCCATTGGCCAGATGCTGGCTCTGTAATAACCTTTGTTAAGCTTATAGGACAATTATTTGTAAACCATGTATTGCAGAAACACAGTTCTTTGTTCTCATAATTTCCTGTAACATGATGAATCAAATATACACTGCAACTTCAGCTTCTGCCGCACAGCATTTTGCAGCATATTGAATTTTCTGAACTGTGTGTTTGTGTAAACCCCTCCTAAGGCATTGATCCAATCATCTCCAACGTTGGCATTTAGCATCTCTGGACTCCCATGATTCAAGTCACGATTTTTTGACATGCTTATCTTGTTCATTTGGTTGCTGCAGGTCAATCAGTTGGAGGGTATGGCATGAATCTGACAACATGAACTGTAACTGGTTAGCACACAGTGCAATCTTAATGAAACTTGACATAGTTATAGCCTAATTTCATCACCTTACCTCTGCAGACATCATTTCAAGGAATTTTGCATGTGGGTGGTTCTGTAATCATCACAGACTCTATAACATAGTGAGAAAATTAGTCCATCATCAAGACTTTTCCAGTATATACCAGGGTATTCATTTCCATTCAGCTGCTCGAGGCGAGCCACTCGCTTCAACAGACTACATTTCTTATTCTTGCTCTCATTCTGACATCAGCCCCATGCTCTCTAAGGATATATGCTGGAATTTTGGTTGTACTTGACCATTAAACTCGTCAGAGCATTTCTCAAGAATCTGTTACTCTCACCTTCACTGAGTGATACTACAACACTGACACCTGGTGGTTCAATACTGAAACTGCTATAAAATTACACTGAACCCCGAGTAAACCCCCCCATTACTCCCCTTTGCTGTGAAGTTGCCACAATTGTTATAAATAAAAATACAGTGGCTCATTCTCTAATATTTAAGATCCTTACCTGGTATATCAATCAATATGCACAATTCTTCTTTCACCATCCTGCAGGTATTCCTATAATGAACATACTAGATTTTAAAACTAGTATATTGCTTTTATTTACATAATCTCTATGATCTCTTGTGTTCTGTGTGACAGTATTTGCTTACTTATACTGTCTGTGTTGTCTAAATTAGCACTGTTTTACATCAGCTCTCTCCTGAATTGCACCCAGTTGAATAGTTTTTCTTTTTTGTAATAACAAAATTGTAAAATAAATAAATGAATAAATAAAATTCAAATATGAATTCTCGACGGCTTCATCTGTAACAAGATCCCTGTTCAAGTAAACAGTAAAATCTCTTCACTGGTTCCCAATGAAGACATTTTACTGTTTACTTAAAAGCACTTCATGGTTTCGCTAACAGTTATATTGCTGAGTTATTGCTCCCTTTCAAGCTGAAGCACAGTCTCATGTCCTCAGGCAGGGCTCTTCTGGCTGCTTCTAAGTCCCACCTCAAAACTGAAGGTGTCTGGGCTTTTGGAGTCAAGGCTCCTCAGCTCTGAAACTTCCTGCCTGAAGATTTGAGATTTGTGGAATCAATAATCACTTCTTTAAAAAAAAAAGGCCTTTCAGTATATCTGTAGTTTTTATTCCTTTTGAATATTTTACACAATTGTAGGCCTATTTTGTGTTATATAATAAAAATAATAATAATACATTTTATTTAAAGGCGCCTTTCTTGGCACTCAAGGACACCGTACAGAGTTACACAAATTGAGATTAAAAACACATTAAGAAGAAGCAAAAATAAAAGTGACAGAGCAATTGGCATCAGATGGAAAAGGCAGTTTTAAACAGATGTGTTTTGAGTTGTGATTTGAAATGGGGGAATGAATCGATATTTCTGAGTTGGGGTGGTGGTAGATTCCAGAGACGGGGAGCAGAGCGGCTGAATGCTCTACTCCCCATGGTGGTGAGACGGGCTGAGGGGACAGACAGGTGTGTGGAAGAAGAGGATCTGAGGGAGCGGGAGGGAGTGGGAACATATATAATTTCAAATGTCTAATTTTACTGCTTAATTTCTAGTTCTTGATGTTGCAATCCTGTTGAAAACCATGTAAAGCACATTGTAATTACTTTAATTTTATTACAAAACAAAGTACGGCCTACTTCAAGTTTAATAGCTTCATTTGATTTTTGTTTGTTTAGTTTATTTTTTAGCAGGTTTTATTTGGCCGGATAGCGTCGTTTTAAAAAAAAACAAAACAAACTACGGTACCCATCATGCCTCTCGGGTGCGTGATGACGCCACAGAACATCAACAACTCACATGTGGCGTACGTGCGCCGTTGCTGTGCCGTGCTAGCAACAACTGGGTAATGTGGAGCTGACGTCCCAGCTGAAATACCACGTTAAAATAAATATCACACAGCTACCTACACGCGTTTTGTACACAGCTTAACCTGAGCCAACATGCCTCCGAAGAAACCCGCCCAGCCTGCGGGAAATAAAAAAACTCAAGAGAAGAAAAAGGAAAAGATAATTGAGGTAAAAAAAAATTACACGAGTTAGCATAGCGGTGTTTAGCGTTAGCTGACCAGCTAGCGTACCACACTCGCTCAGTGTTAAACGAAGCTAACACAAGTGCTGACAAGTGAACCTTAAAGTTACACTGATCTCTGGGCAGTTGTCAGTGTTTCCTAATTGTTCGATACTCGTTCTGATTAATTTAATTGCCTCCTAACAAAATCGCTAATCTATATAACCCAAAGTTAAGCGAGCTAGCCAGCTGTCAGAAGGCCAAGCTGCTAACAGCTAACAGGGCCGTGCCGCCGGAAAAAGTGTTCTTATTTCGTCTGTTAAGGTTTATCTATGTCCATAAAGTCCGCGGCAGAAATTAGAAGCCTTAACGTGACATCTTTATTGTGTTTTATAAGAGCAGCTTGGTTGGTGTTGTATAAGAAAGGGAATTAAAGGGCGGTGCTGTGGGCCTGTTTCTCACCGGCCTGTAGGACAGATGAGGGTACAGATTTCAGCCAGTTTCGGCGCCGAGTTGAAACAGGTGTAAAAGTTATTAGTTTTTATACTTAATTTCCTTTGTTTTTAAACGTGAGAGTACTGCAAGTACCTGACTATACTAATCACTGTCACTGCCACATCTTCCTGTCAGTGTAACCCTACCTGCTTGTCAGCGTCGTTCATGCACAGGAATAGATGATTTCACTGCATTTTCTCAGTATGTCAGATCGTTTGTTACTACAAATCTTTGCGGAAAATGATCTATCACCTGTCTAATTTCACAACAGAGATACCTACTAATCAAGTCCACTAGTGTGATAACACTTCATATGCCATATGTGGTCTGATGCTTAAAACATGAGGCTGTAAATCCCATTAAAAGAATTGTGTTGTATGTGTTTCCAGAGCCTGACATATCTCATTCCCCTGTGACCTCCACAGTTGGCCAAAAAGTACTAAAAACACATGTGATTGTGATCTGTGGCTGAATACAGTTCCTAAACACACACTAGTTACTTTTGCTTTGAGTAATGTTTGCTAGTAAACTACAACAATGCCCAGCAGTTTTGGGCAATGACTCAGCCTGTTTTAACAATTAAGCCATTTACACCTTCAGTAGAAACCAATGGGCTTGGAGCTGAGTGGCACAGATAAGATAGGCAAGTCAGAGGGGACTGAAAGACGGACTAACACGTTGTCAGATTAAATATCAAACATATCCATATATACTTTTAACAACCACGTTAATCTGAAAATTTAAATTAAGTACATTTTATTACATTGCGCACAGGCAAGTTTAATTAAGTGTATGTTAATTTTGCTGAATTAAAAACAGATTTAGAAGTGATTCTTACCGATTTGCCAGTGGTTGCTACCACCTTAGAGTTGTCATGTTATAGCAATGTGACATAATGAATGTTGCCTTCTGCTTATTTTCTTTCATTGTGCCCAGAGAAATAGATAATAGAGAGCTTTGTGCGGCTCTAATCAAATTCTGGTTTGTCTGAAATCACTTAATATCCACATGTAGGTGATAATATGACCAAGGAAAACAGCTGCATCAATCTAAATTTAAGAACCTTTGACACTGTGTGAGAACAGCAACATTGCATGTTCATTGCAAGTCACACTGTGTGACATGAGTCTGTCTGATCTCAATTTTGAGGCATTTGAGATTGTGCGATAAATGTGAGTCACAGTGCGGCAATTTAAGAAAAACATGCAGAAAAAAACAGGCAGCTTTTTGATTTGTTTTTCAACTGTTTTCAAAAATGGCGTTTACAGTGCTGCATCACTCCATGGTTGGTTTATAGACCAGGTTGATTAGAAACCAACCAGCAGCAATTGCATTGTGGGTTTTGATACTCTGAATCAGATGATGGACATGTCTCACAATTCAGTGTACAAGCACTGTTTTGGATTACCAGCCAAAGATTTCACTACGCTGCTTGTGAACTTTCCTCTGTGGCAGGCCAGAATTATAGTGTATGAATAAAGGAAAACACATGCTGGAGCTTGTTTTCATGATGTTGGCGCTGTTTGCTTGGGTGATATTATTGGAGGTTAATTATGAAACTGATGATGAATTGACCTGTTGTTTTTTCTAGGACAAGACATTTGGCCTTAAGAACAAGAAAGGGGCCAAACAGCAGAAGTTCATCAAGAATGTTACTCAGCAAGTGAAATATGGACAACAAAGTGCAAGACAGGTTAGATTAGACAATTCCTTCTTCTTACTATGTTTCTTTCTCCATCCCTTCATACTATCTCTTGCGTGAACTATCTCCAAATCTCACACACACACTTACTGTGTCACACTGTACTCATCCTCTCCTCTCATTTTACCAAATAATTTTAAATGTCTGCTGTTAAAAACATTTGTAAGAGAGTGCATTCATTTTGTACAATGAATCATCAAACAACTGACCACTAATTTAAATCTTTGTGAGCTAACTTGGTGTGTGTGTGTGTGTGTGTGTGTGTGTGTGTGTGTGTGTGTGTGTGTGTGTGTGTGTGTGTGTGTGTGTGTGTGTGTGTGTGTGTGTGTGTGTGTGTGTGTGTGTTGCCCAGGCTGAGGCAGACAAGACTGCTAAGAAATCTGACAAGAAGAAAGAGTTGGACGAACTCAACGAGCTGTTCAAACCTGTAGTCGCTGCCCAGAAAGTCAGCAAAGGTAACGAACATGAATGAACATTAACTTAGCTTATCTTACATTTTAATTGTTGCTCATCTTTTAAAACTGCCAAATATTTACTGATTGTTCTTGTGTGTTCAGTACAGTTGAACAATAAATTCTTCTCTCTTTTCTGCAGGTGTCGACCCAAAGTCCGTGCTGTGTGCATTCTTTAAGCAGGGCCAGTGCACTAAAGGTGACAAGTGCAAGTTCAGCCATGATTTGTCAATGGAGAGGAAATGTGAGAAGAGAAGCGTCTACGTGGATGAAAGAGACGAAGACCTGGAGAAAGGTTAGTGTACAGTGTGGGTGACTTGTATATATAGTAATATTGTATATAATGTCATAGCATCGAGCAATGCTGCATTTTGATCTTCCCTTTTTCTAATGTTTACTATAATAGTCCCTACATGGCTGAAATAAATTAATAAGTAGGCCCCCTGGTTTTGGAAATTGCTTGGCATTTAATATTACAATAAGCAGTGAGCAATAAGATTTTTTTTTAGATGGTTGTATCTGCACCAAGCAGCACAACCTAAGTGTTAAATATATAAATGTCACAGGAGGAAACCGTAAACATGACCGCATTACAAGTGACAAAAATGCTGACATCTTTGTTACACAAAATAAGATAAAAAATGTCACTGTTATGCTTTTCTCAGTAACAACATGGCTTGATAACATGTTGAAATACATTGTTTAACACTGAACAACTTACCTCTATTGCTTATGTTTAACGTGAGACCTGTTGTGTTCTGTTTAGACACAATGGAGAACTGGGATGAGAAGAAGCTGGAGGAGGTCGTCAATAAAAAACACGGAGAAGCTGAGAAGAAAAAAGCCAAAACACAAATTGTAAGTGTAATTTTTTTTCAAAAGTCCTGGATGCAGAGAAATTAAAAGAGCCCTGTTACTGACACATAGAGGGGAATGATTAGAGAGACGAATACAGGGAGTTCAGACAGTTCGGAGGTGATGAAAGGGATGGAGATGAGGAAGAGAAAACCAAATCTAAAGGGGAAAAACAAGGACTACCTTGAGCAATAGTGTATGTACTGCGATTTGATCATAATTATATCAGGCCAAGCCAAAAACACTGTTCAAAGCCATTTCAGATTGCAGGAACTGCAAGGAAGTCCTGTTAGTGGTGGATTCAATGAAGCAGTGATCTCATGGCTGTTTGTCCTCAACCATATCGACCCACTTCACCTTCACTTGAAATGAATCTATCTAAATGCAGTAACAACACAAGATGCTTTCTGTTTTCCCTTCCCTGTAACATTATCTACTTTGTGTCATTTTCAGGTGTGCAAGTACTTCTTGGAGGCCATAGAGAATAATAAGTACGGCTGGTTCTGGGTGTGTCCAGGGGGGGGCGATACTTGCATGTACCGGCACGCCCTGCCGCCCGGCTTCGTACTCAAGAAAGACAAGAAGAAGGAGGAGAAAGAGGAGGAAATTTCGTTGGAGGAACTGATAGAAAACGAGGTAAGGACGGATGGAGGGATGTAAAGTCTGCTCCTGGCAAAAAAAACTATAATCCAACTCTGAGATGTATTTGGAGGCTCTAGGTGAATCAGAGCAACACAGAGGGCTTGTTATAGATAAAGCTTTGCACTTGTGTCCTGCATCTCAATAAGCATGGTTGCTGCCATCATGGAGGTCCATGCGGAGAGTTAGGTGTGCACAAATGACAGCCTCTACTCCAAAGCAACAACTGTAGGTTAATAGTGAGCTCAGTTGATGTGAACAAACTGTCCTTCAGTTTGTCAGCTAGTTAAGCAGGTATTAGGGCTGTAAGGACGTTTTCATATAAATACACAACTACTAACCACAGAAATGTTTGAAATCGGATGTATTAACAAGACAGTGGAGATCAGCGTAGCCTTCTGTTGGATGCTGCCTAACAAGCTGGAATTAGTAGCAGTAAGTGAGTAAACTTTAATTCCATTGCACCTTTAAAAGCAGTTACAAAGGGCTTTACATATACACATTAAAACGTGCTATAGTAAAATACAGTTAGAGAGATCATTTGAAGGAGGACAGCTGGGCTTCATAAAACAGAATTAGATAAGTTGTAAAAGTTGTAAAATACCCGTCTGTACAAACCAAATTAAGAAAGTGAAGAAACATAACCAGTTGTCTTCAGATAATGTCAGCAAAAAGTTGAGGACGTCCAACATGGCTACCACCCGGGGTCGTTAAACGCTCTCTAAATACTAAGTGTGCCTGATTTTACCCTGGAAGATGTCTTTACTGTCCACATCCTGATGTCCGTCTCTCCCCCCCGCAGCGTGCAGCTCTGGGTGTCAACGTGACTCGGATCACCCTGGAGACTTTCCTGGCTTGGAAGAAGAGGAAAAGGCAGGAGAAGGTTGGAACATGTTTAAACATCTTATTAACATAGTTTGACACGTTTGTCACTGCAGCATCATGGATGTTTAATTTTAAGTCCCTTACATTTCCCCGTGGAAGTTATGTCGTCTGATGATTCAGGGCTAAATCAGAAAACGTGAGAATCTTACATGGACACAAGTACCCCCCCCCCCCCCCAAAAAAAAAGTAACTGGCTGCTGTTGATTGACAGGTGGACAAAGCGAGGGAGGAGTTGGAGAAGAAGAAGGCCGACTTCAAGGCTGGAAAGTCGCTAGTAGTAAGTCTGGCTCCAGCTGGTGTGGGTGGTGTTGGTCACACAGTATTCTGGATAACTGTTTGTGTTTCTGTTTATAGCTGTGGTCACTTTATGAGTCTACATGTTGTGTCCCGTTACTGCTGAAGCAAACATCTCTGCAGTAATACAGGATTTAATTAAATATCTGTATGCGTAGGTGAGCGGCCGCGAGGTGTTCGAGTTCCGTCCAGAGCTGGTCGACGACGACGACGCTGAAGCCGACGACACTCGATACGAGAGCGAAGAAGAGGAAGACGACGAAGTGGTAATTATTAAATAATCCACAATTCTCTAATCTGTCTGTGGCCAGCAGCCGCAGAGGCCGCTCCTCCTCCTGCATCCGATGCTTATTAAGTTTGTCTTTGTTTGACTTCATATTCTGTGAAGTCTAACACAGTGTGCGTTGTTGGTGTGAAATATTAATAACATATCAGTGTTGTCGGCGCTCGGTCAGTCAGTGTTTCCAAGTTATTTCGGTTACGCTGTGAGGTGGGTGTGAACAGGCAGGTCCTCAAATATAAGTTTTGAATATTTAAATTTAGAACATAGTAATTAGAATAAAATGGATGGGATTGTTGAAAATATGCAAATTAATCCCTTCTTTTCTGAATCAGTGAAATTTGATTAAAAACTTTTTTTTTTTTCATTTTAGAAAAATGAAATTAAAAAAAACTCCCCCATTTTTCCCACTTATTTCTCTGGTTTTGTCTCTCCCCTGTGTCTCTATCTCGCTCACTGACTCGAGTCACTGTGATTGGCTGAGTAGTGTCACATGACCACTGCCGTAAAAGCCAGAAAAGCTGTGCTGGTTAAAATATAGACTCTTTAAAATTTAATTTTTAGGCAATAGCGTCTTGGTCTGGATCGAGCTATTAGTGACCTCAGCTCTATACAAAACCTACCACTCAGAGAAATGTCTATGTGCTTGAGATCATGGCTGCTGCTAGAGTGGACCATAAAAAGTGCATCCTGTTAATTTTGGGCAAAGTGAAAATGACAGCTTCTAAAACAGATGATGTAACTCCATTTCCAGGTTCAGTATATGAATTTACAGGTAACAAAAGTCGCTGCAGGTGTAGGTGAGGTTTATGTAACCCAGACACAGTTTCCACATCTCAAAGGTGAGACTGAGCAGGTATAATTCAGCGTCTTACAGGTGATAGGAAGGTGGTTTGGTGCTGTCCCCAGACTCAGTGTTCCTGTAGTTAAATGGTGTAATTCCTGCTGAACTGCAGCTGTCGTCTTTTCACACGTCAAATCATTTGCCTGTTAATTACTTGCACCTGTTGCACACTTGTTAGCTCCTCAGTAGATTTGGGCTATAAATGAATCCATAACAAGTTTAATGAACAAGAAAACATTTTCTTAATTAAACACAGTTTGGTTTTTTTGTCCCTTGATTAATTTCCTGGTTCCTTTTATTTCTGGTACTAAAATATTGTGTAAAAACTTTGTCCAATCAAAAACAGTCTGGCTTTTGGCAACTTTACTGGCATTAAGTTCCAGAAAGTGATAAAGTTCTTCTAGGCATTTTTATGTGTTGGATTTCTTGTGTCGCACTCCTGTCTAAACCTGCTGTTCATGGTTTTCATTTCAGATTGATACCACAGAGGTCCAGGACATAGATTTATCTCGTTTTGTTCCACAAGAGGTCGACAACACAGGCATTACCGTAGCATCCATGGACCGTTTCACCTCGAGGAATAAGAGTGAACCGACAGAAGAAGACAACGGTAAGAAAAAGCCACTAATTCGACTAGAATTAACGCCTTGCGGTTGTATCCCTCCGCCACTCAGACTAGATTCAGGTTACATCCCTGTTTATCCAGAATCATATAAAATATTAAACATTTGAGTGAAATTTTTTCTCATAATTGATGTGTGAAGTCTTGAGTAATGGTTAGAAAGTATTTTGTGAGGTCACCATGTCTTTGACCTTTAGCCACCAAAATTTAATCAGTTCATCCTTGAGTCCAAGTGGACATTTGTGTCAAATTTGAAGAAGTTCTGTAAAGGTGTTGCTGAGACAACGTGTCCACAAGAATGGGACGGACAGACTGACGGCCCTGGCTGTCGCCGGTGCGGAGGCATAACAATGTGACTTCCGCTAGTTGCCATGACAATGCTGGTTACAACTATACACAACCCTTGAATACATTTTGTTTAAATCATAACTGAGGATGACCTTAATGTAAAAAATCTGTCTATCTTTTCTTTCCTGCTTCCTCCTCCTCCTCCTCCCCCCCTCGTGCTCTCTACAGAGGAACAGCTGAACGGAGCTTGCGGCGGCGCTGAGGCCAATGGGCTTTCAGGAGCAGAGGGGGGAGGGGAGGACGGAGGAGGGGAGGATGAAGAGGAGGAGGAGGTGGAGGAAGAAGAGGTTCCAGTGGACGAGAACCTGTTCACGGGTGAAGATCTGGAGGAACTCGACGAGGAGCTCAACACACTGACGCTGGAAGAATGAGAGGGAGCGCGCGAGGTGGAGGTTAGGACGGACTAAGTGACAAAGGGATGGACCGATGGATGCATGGAGCTTAACAACAAAGAGACCGGATGTTTAAATGATTTTAAATTTCAGAGACTCCAGTAATAAAGCCTGATTATATCATGACATCACTGCCTGTCTCTGCCCCCTCTGTTTTCTGTATCGCCCCTCTCACATCCCACCGCATCCCAGACGTTCTGTCCATCGGGTGTCCAAATTTCCACAGCAGGGCCAATAAGGGTCAACCAGGGCCAACTCCACATGAATGTCGCTTGTCACAATTTCTAATACGAGAGAATTCGGCTGCTGCTGTTGTGCACTTTTTGTTGCTCAACGCTGGCTTACGTTGAAACTGAAATTACTTTAGATAAAAATTAGGCTTCGAGTGCTTCTCTACCTGATCACTATTAAATATCGAACAGGGTGATTTGCTGAATGAGACATTACAAGGGCGTAAAAATCAAAGCACTGCTGGAAACGGCTTCAGTAAACTTAATAACATTATCGATGGATGTTTAAAAAAAGCTTTTGTAAACTGAATTTATACAAAGTGGGAAATGAACAGGATTGATTCTGTGGTAAGAAATCTGTTCAGAGCTTCGCCTGCTCTCGTACCAAAATAAAAGCTGTAGATTGAGGTTGTCAGCACTTTCATTATTCTAGTAATTTGTTTTCCCTCAACAGATCCATTATTTCATTTAGGTGAACTTAAAACTGTTGAAAAAATTTGTGTAACTTTGTCGAAGGAAAAGTCCAGACCTAGCTTCTGAAATGTCAGGGGTGTTTGAGACCTGATTAGTGCTGTAATTCAGCCCCAGCAGGGAAACCAAATGATCCCATTGCCAGCCCAGTATTGTAAATAATGTTCTCATGAGTTGCCTCCTGAAGAAATAAAAGATTACTGTACATCCAGTGTGTGTCTCTTCTTGGATGACGCCAAGTCCCCACATCATTTCATATCAGTTGATATTGTACTTAAGTTCAAACTTTAACAATAAACACAAATCTTTATGTAATCAAATTACTAACAAGAAACTGACACACTGAACTTTTCTTGGTTCATCTTTGGTGCCAGTGATGTTGAAATTCAGATATAATTACAAGGTATTTCTAAATCTCAAGATCAAAATTCTTTAAGGCTTTTAATTATGACATTGGGCTTAAAGGACAGGTTCGCATTTTCTCAGGTCAGTCTTAAGAAAAAGAAAATACTCACGTTTTGCTTGCTGTAATCATTCCTCCTTTTCTTACTGGCCACTAAGAGAATCCTTCCTTTTTCTTTTTTTTTTTTCCATTTGAGATCGGGAAATGTTCAATCCTCTTTCTGTGCAAAAACATATTCCAAAACAGTTTGAAATAATCAAATCAAGTGGAGATCTATATATCTATTATGTATCTATAATTACCGTCTTTTTGTATGAAATTCCCTCTTGTGTTTCTTTGCTGAGCTGCGGTGTAAAGATGGGAACACAAAGAGGGTATTTTATACTAAAAAGTCTGTACTCGATTTGTCTAACTCAGACTGTTGAAGCCGTATCATCATATAATCCTAAGCTGAATTTCAGACTGCAAAGAACGATTCTCCTAATGGCCAATATGAACAGGTGGCACAATTACCGCAAGAAAAACCTTGACTTCGACTGTTCATGCTGACAACTGATATTTATATTGTAAGACAAATCTGAAAAAAAATGTCCTTTAATACTCAGTAGAGTGATTCATATATACATACACAGTGCGTTCAGAAAGTATTCAGACCCCTTTGCTTTTTTTATATTTTGTTATGATGCAGCCTATTGCTGAAATTGTTTAAATTGTTTATCAATCTACACTCACATCCTTAAACTGACCCAGATGTGCATGTAATTGAAGCCTTATCTTGATACGGTCATGATTTACTCATGTTACAACATAAAACTGGATATTTTTTTTAGTACGTTTTACTACTATTCTGAAAAATAAATTATATTTAGCACAGGTATGTGGCAAAAACTTTGACAAGAGATCAAAACAGGAAAATGAAATCAAAATGTTTTAATCATCAGTGAACGTCCAGGCCGGACAGTGCACCTCCTACTTGCAACATGGAAGACTATATCTGTAGTTTTGACATTTCACATTCGACAGGCAGCTCCAAAAGAAGAGATGAGAGATCAAATGGTGTTGTGAACTGCTTTTTATTTTGACTGAGACAAAAAAAAATTACATTTAGTCTAATAAACACAGTTGAACTGCTTAACATGAAATCACATGGCACACCATTAGAGAAAAAAGGAAGGACTAGATCTGAACTACAAAACTGTCTAGATCCAGCTTTACAAATCCTGTTGATGTTTATCTTACTAACAGATTGCAGCCTCCTGCCCTCAGTTTTTCAAGAAAATGTTGCCTGAACTACAATGTAACTCTGAGATGTTTAAACTTGAAATAAAGTGTTTCTTCAGCAGCCTGTTGATAAATTATGGTGTGCTACTGCTGCGGTTGTACAGTTAGTCCAGCTGATAGAAGCCAAAAACGGCGTCAAGGTTGAAACTATGTACTTTAAAAAAAACAAAACATAAAAGCATCACACTGAACACAAACTACACACACTGTATATGATGCTGCTGCTGCTGCTGCTGTTCACACACTGTGTTTGATTAAGACTCCCATTTTAGCAGTGGATGCTACTGTGCACTTGTTGTATCACTGAGTCACAGCAAGGTCACTGACCGGCAGTAAGGTCAGACAGGTGTCAAAGGTCGTGTCAGAGGTCGGGAGAAGGTCTTGATGTCGGTCGGTCTGTCAGGTCAGGTGTCATTGTGTCATGACAACAGTCGCCTAGGGAACAAGAAGCTGCAGTGTTATTCACAGGAAGAAAAACAACTCAACTGTCATCAATAACTTGTTGACAGGTGTGACTTCCACATGTGTGTGGAAGGCATGACTGAAGGGGCTCACACACATTTTGCAAATAAATCTTCTCTCATCTTCACCGGGAGATCAATATATTTTAGAATATGTCTAAGGACAAAATATTTCATGAAATACATCCTAACATCCTTTAAAGGAAGCAGAATACTGGTTTTATACATGAGTATAATAATGTCGCACCACTGTTTCACTGTTGGGGGAAAGCTCTGCTAACATGCTAACAACCTTTCTTTGTCCCTGAACAGACCCTGAAATGGAGAATTTAAAAAAAAAAAAGGGAGCCAGGAGTCTGCATGTTCAACCAAAGAGAAAGAAGTTTTAAAGTAATGTGGGAAGGTGAAGGTAAACCTGCAGACACCCGGTCCTCCACCGTTTCTTTCATTATATATTTTAAATATACAATGAAATCACCAGAAAATACACAGTAGTATGTTGTATGTTACAGCTGTAGTAACTGCATCCTTCAACTAGTTGCACGAGGAATTCAATTTTAGGTTAGTTTTTCCTTAACTTTAACTGGCTTAGACCGGCCCTCCATTTTGTACTTTACTCTTCATTTCGATCACCACACAGCTGATGTGAACTGCTCTGTGTGTGTGTGTGTGTGAGTGTGTGTGTGTGTGTGCTGCTTGCACAAACCATGTAACAGACCTTACTCAGAATCCATTTGAAGTCTATGTATAAAATACATTGTTACCAAAATACAAAACTCTTTGGTACCAAATGTCCAGTTATTCATACTGGTGGTCCCAGCAGCAGAAAATCTGGCACTTACCGGTCATTTCAATAGGTACGAGGACGTTTGTGAGATTCCTCTCTGGGAGGATCTGCCAGCATCACCTTCATCTTCACTCCGTTGACGACCCGACCATGGAGCGCTGCCATGGCCTCATCTGCGCACTGAGAGGTGAACATGCAGAGAGAAGATTTATTTAGGGAGACAATCTTGATTTGGTTTGTTTTTTTTTTAAAAACATACTCTGCTTCTGTTTGTCAGGATATCACTCAGCTTTTCCTCTGTCTACCTCTACTCATCCCTCCATCTTTCACAGCCCATTTACTCCTCCCTATAAACTGTATTCATCCAACCGTTCTACTTAACCTCCTGCTGCTAATCATACATTAAATACTACATATTTTTCTCTCTGGTTTGTTTTCAGCTTCACCTCCATCACTTCAGAGTCTCACCTGTTTGTCTGCATACTTCATATATCCAACTTTCCTCCCTGGAACCAAATGCACCTCGATAAGTGAACCAAAGCGACTACAGAGAGAGACAGAGGGAGACACAGTGGGAGGAAAAAACATTTAATTGTAAAGCAGGAACGTTTGTTAATGCTTATTGTCTGGAGCATCATTTTAATAGCACATTACACTGTTATTTAAGAGCACTTAGCTTGATGCCCTCATCCGGGGCAATTTGAAGTGACTGAGCTTAAGTTGTGATCGATTGAACCTTTCACCTTCTGGTTAATGGACCATTATTTTTACCATTTGGCCATTTTGTGACATAAATATACAAAACCCATCAGCACATTTTAAAAATGCTATAATTAAGTGAAATTATGAGCCAGTCCATCATTCACTTACCAGAAAACGTCCTCCAGCACATCCGGGGGCAGCGGGGAGGGGCTGAACACGACGAACAAGCGCTCCTTGGTTTTGCTGTCAGGTGGAGCGAGCTTCTTCAGCGGGGGCAGGTTGACGTCTGTCTGAACCCGGGACATTGGAGAGACGGGAGAGAAACCCTGGAGGATACAAACAAAATAGTCAGGCTTCATGATAGAACTTTAATACAGTATTTTAATTTTTTTTACACATAACTGTGTAAAACATATCAGCTCCAAGGTTACGCATGTTAAGACTTGTGTAATTACCAACTTTTATTTCATTAATTATTTAATCTGTAAAATGCCAGAAGTGGCAGAGGAGGCCTGGAGGAATAATTACCCAGAACAGTTATTAACTTTGAGATGTTATTTACCGGGTGAGTTGTTTTCTAAAACTTAGATTTTGTCTCTAAAGTGACAAGAAAAACAATAAAAATATAGAATAACTTCACTTCCAGTTATTAATATACAGCATGTGTGTAAATAAGTATTTTTAAAAGGAAAAAAACTATTCCTATCTGTACAACCTGTGTTGTAGGAATCTAAAATATGCAGAAACCATCTTTTTGACTCCTACAGTACAGGTTCAATAAATGTCTAAAATACAAGAGCAGTGTGCAGAAATGTCCTGTTCTTCAATAAAAGGTCTTTAAAGGACGTTGTGAGTGTTCATGTCATGCAAACAGACCATGTGACCATTGCAAAACATAACTCAAGATGACAAGCAGGTTGATCTGACACAAGTTTTTAAATCAGGCAGTGATTTAATGCACTCACCGGAGGTTTCATCACTTGGCTGGTGGAGGGTCCGTTCCACACTGCAGACATCATCTGGGTTGCAACAAACTGCATAGCCATGCGACCTACAGGACTACACACAAACACACACAGGCTGTTTTTCATTGGTTCATACCAATCACAGTGACCAGATGGAGACACAGATATTATTTCTACTATCAAATACAGGTTAGCCTTGTATAGTACTGTAAGAACGTTGACCAGACATGTTAGAAAGAAAATACAGTACTGGATAGATACTGCGTGTCCTTACTTTGTCTCCATAAAATTATTTTATGGTCATTTTCAACCTTTTGTGATGCTTTTACTGAACGTTTATATTGTATACTAACAAACAAGAACAATTTTTGCCAGTAAGACTGCACATACGACTGGTCACTGATATTTGACTCTAACCTCCATCCAGACCTGCTTGTTCCCCTGACTGCTTTTTAAACAACACGGGTTGTTTGATTCTTTGTTAACATGGGGTTTTCCTCTGCGTTTTAACTGTGTAGTGCCAACAACTTTTACTGCTTCTGTTTAGTATATAAAGAGCTCTTGCTCCTTTTCCTCTTCACCAGCTTCTCAGAAATGACTCCGCAGTCACTGCAGCCCACAGGGGACAAGTCACATTCACCCATGAATATTTGACAACAAACAGAACGTGACCATGAAGAAGTGCAACTAATGTCACTGTTAATTATCAGTGGCATTTTGGTCCTAATTTTTTAATTGATGGATTTAATTAATTAAAGAGCAATTCTGCTTCACGCCTCTATTAATGTTTGTCCCTTATGCAGAAATGCTGTAAGTGTATGCTGTCACTTATATTCAGTATAAATGCATGTGTGTGTACCTGCTGCGGTCATCTCCATCGTCAACAAAATTTACTACCAGTCTGTTGCCAGGTGGATATTCGAAGCCATTAAGCTTCTCCTTGGCATAAACTGCTGATCCCAGGTTACTGTAACGAATCAGCGCATGACCTGAGGGCACATGACACACAGGAAACAAAACACAGCCAACACTTTTGGTTTAGAGTCATCAAAATTAACAGAGGGAGCACATCAACATTCACAGGTTACATGAATTACAAACTACAGTAAACCAATTTTAGATTTATGACTTGAGCTTATATAAAACCAAGAAAATAACTTTTTAAATACTGTTTTTTGTTCCAAAAAGTGTTTGACCAGTCAGAAAAATATATAGTAGGGGTTATTTCAACCTGGGAACAACTATCTGTGATAAATTATTGCCTGTTTCCCACGGTATTATTTAGGGAACTGAACAACTTAGCTCAAAACTTTGGACACATACTTCTCATCTCTTACACTGTATTATAGTGTCCAGATGAATGAAGCCCATACTTGGGAGTTTATTCACTAACCTTTGCTCATTCCATAAGCATCTCTCTGAAGCTCGCAGTACTCCATACCAGGAATGATGTCAAACAGAGCAAAAATCTGCTCCTGGGTAAGAGCAGCCCGTGTTGACATCATGAGGCACCGCGTGAAGTCATTGGAGCGATAGTCCATGACCTGGTAGTTCCCAGGGTCAGCTGTAGAGGGAAGAGGGACACCAGGGTTTGGATGTCAATTCCAGAAATTTAGTAGTCGATACCAATATCAGTGAAATTCCACGATTCTCGATACCTATTTCGATACAACAATAAATTCCATGTACTTTCTCTTTCACTCGAATACGAATAAAAAAAACAAAAAACAAAGACAAGTGGCATGTAGACTTCAAGAATTTAAAATAAACAATACTGTGCTAAAATATAAACCATCTAACTTTTTATTGCAAAGCTTTTCAGCTATAGTGCCCTGAGACAAAAAAAATGTGGAAATAATAGATATAATAAAATGAAACAACTACTGAAATAGCAAAAAAGAACAGTGGCATGTATCCTTCAAGTATTAAAGTAAACAATACTATGCTGGGGGCGTGACAAGCACTCATGCAACTACTTCCCTCAATAGGATGTCAACCTTATGTTACTTCCTAAGAGGGTGACTATCAATCTCGTCACGTGTCGGTACTTTTCGGTACCTTCGATATCATGAAAAAACGGGTACCGTCCCTTTTTTTGCCACGTGGTAAGTATCGGTACTGGTGACAACCCTACACCAGGGTCAATAATAGGACAGAGACCACTGAAAGTAAGGGCTTCTCAGATGTATTCATATCAGTGGCCTGCTAGGAGAGAACTGAAAAATACTAATTCCCCTGGTAAGACTTCGATTCCCCTCATTCACATCTCCAATTGAACTATTTTCTCTTCACCATTTACAGATTAATGTTTACTTTATTACCACACAACACAAATACCTACAACTGCAGCCATAACTGTAACACTGATTTGAAAGAGGAATTTCAAATACAAAAGGAACAACTGCAAGCACATCAGAAGGCCAACAAGTAGTAATGTAACAAAAAAAATGTCTTCCCAATTGCCATCTGACTGCATCCCATAACACAGGAATCAGTGGTGTGTCTCAGGTGCGATGGACTTAAATGCTGGTCAATAATTTCAAAAAGAGGAAATTTAAATGCAAATATAGCAGAAGATAAAAACTCAATTAGGATGTTTAACAACTGCTTACCCATTGGGAAGGCGTACTGGTTCATGGAGTCACCACCACCCATGTAATCACCTCTTGGGGCTCCTGCGCTGTAATCTTCTGTCACTGTAGCCTTAGTGCGAGGTTCAGCCAGGATGGCCCTGTAGGCTAGCAACACCAACATCATCATCATCATCATCATCATCATCATCAACGTTACAGTGCCAAGTAACAAAGTGTCCACAGTCCTTCACAAAGTGTTAACAAATGTGAGGAACAGTCATGTCTAAACACTAAAAATGTGCATCTCCCAGTATGTTTTCCAGCTGCTACTTCTATAGCAAATAATAAACCCATTAGAGAATATGACAGTCTTACTTTTGTCACAGTTCTCTATAGCGATGGCAGCTTGCGAGGGTTTGTAGTATCTCACGTAGCCCAAACCTTTACTTTCCCCAGTGAATTTATTCTTGATGATCACACAATACTCAATATCACCATATTCCTGAAAGACAGACAGAGGCAATAGACAGAGATTTTAAAAACTGGTAATTCGACATCTCATAAAAAGATAACAACAAACAGAGATTATAGCCAATTTGCAGATCTATTTACATATCACAGAAAAAGTATGTGCACAAGCTGAGAAGTAGGTGTAGTTACTTTGAATGTGTCTTTGAGGTCCTCCTCTGAGAAGGTTTTGGGGATCATGACGAAGATCCTGGTCAGCTCTTCATCTTCAACATCTCTGTGCCTTGTTGAAGACCGTGACTGGGCAATAAACACCTGCCAACCAAGCAGAAGGTGAAATGGTTACAAATAATTGGTCATTACTAAGCCTAACAAGACATTTAAAATTTTAGTGACATCTATAAATGATAGATTTTCAAGTATTTTTTGCAATTAAATTATCTAGGAGAAGGGGAACTTGTTTTGAGTTCATGTGTTATGGTTTTGACATGTGTGCTGCCATCACAATACAATGGAGGTTAGTCGTTCGTCAAGATATTCCACATTCCTTGCTATTTTTTTCTCAGGGACAATTTTTTTTTTAGGTCAGTGAATTATCCTGAATAACTGGGGCACTGTTTCTATAAAGATGAGTTGTTTCGTGGCAGTTTTCTCTGATGTGGGCTCCACAATCACAATTCCCCTCGCCTTAAATGCACTGAGGTGGTAGCAGAGGTGTCATACACTTATATTTAAAAACCTCAGCAAATCGCACTTGAACTATCGGCATGTCTAGACGCTATTAGGAGGAAGTAGTCAGAAAATATGGATTTTGTAATACGGGTGAACTGACCCCTTTAATACAGGTCTCTCTTTCCTGCGTTGCTAACGTGAGAACCTGCTGTGTAGCATGCTAGCAGGCCGCACGTATATTATGATTCAACTGTTTCGACTGAAAGTTCACAGCATTAACAGCATACTGAACTGATACTATCAACCACCCCAACTGCCCGGTGTAAGTGACCGTTACCTTGCAAGGTTTTGTCCCTTCCATCAGCACTTTGCCGTGCATCTCCTCCATAGCTAGGCAGGCCTGCGAAGACTTAGCGAACTTCACGTAGCAGATCCCTTTGGACTCTTTTGTCTGTTTGTCTTTAACAACCCAAACCCCCTGAATATCCCCAAACGCGGAGAAACCTTCCCGAAGCTCATCTTCAGTTATGGACCGACTTGTGACCACGAAAAGCCGGCTATTTGGAGGGTCGTCGAGGTTTTCGGTCGCTTGTTTATTGGGATACTCCTCCATTTTTGCTTCCCGCTGGATATAATGCTACCAGTAGCCGTTGGTGCTGCCTTCACGTTCTCCTCGGGAACTTCCTGATTCAACTTGGTGCGTTGGCAATCAGAAAATCAAAAACAGTCATACCTAAGTTTTGATATTGGTGTTGGCCATGAAATAACCCACATAATTTACATGATGTGGAAGAGGTTTGCTTCGATGCAAAAATTTCACAAACTTTTGAGGGGGAATTTACTTGTGTTTATTTTACTTCTTGGTCTGTGCATGAAGTATAATTCTTGTATGCTGTTCACACTTTGCGTGTGTTATTGTCCCACTGAATGAAAACGTGCAATTCAATTCAGTTTGTTCCATTATCCACATTGTCTAATAAAAAATTAAAAAAGGAAGTCGAGAGCCGTAAACAGAAACAGTTTGTCTCTCCAAATAAAGGTTGCGCGTTTTGAACAAACGTGCTGGCTGCAGCGGTCAATTTAAGGAGAGCTAAGCTAAATAAATAAACAAACTGTCTAAAAAATGAACACAATTCAGCAGCGTTTAGGCAGCATCGGCTAATGATGAACGAGCTCACAGATGTCAACATACATTTACACTTAGCACAAATAGGACAATGAGATTAGGCAATACCCCCTAAACTGGCATTTGATTTTATCAGTATTAGTGGCAGTCATGTTCTCATTTGCATTGTAACGAATTAATGTCATGTTCTTCACATACCTGTTTTAACTTTTGTAGCCTATTCACTAAAATGAAAAAAAAAAACCTGTTATCTTGGCAAATAGTATTAAGTGAAAGGTGTAAATCATTTCCCACAGTTATGAAGGTATCAGTAGAGCTGACAATGAACGTTTACTGCCATCTACTGTATGGGAGAACTCTCGGCACTCCTCTGTTGTAGGTTACAAAAGGATGCTGCAGAGAGCTTTTATAACTCATGTTTTGAAACAAAAATATTTCAACTCAATGTCTGAATAGTGGGTTTCCCAGGCCTATTGAATGCTATTTTACAGTAGGTTACGAGAAAATAACAATCGTGTCTGTCTGTGTCAACAATAATATATATCATGAATCAATAAAATAATTGTATTATTTAGATGAAGTTTATTCAGTCACTGACCCACGTAACACATACATGAAACTATCAGCTGATGATATGGTGTCAGAGGCTCGTGACTTGTTTGTTGTGAGGGTGTCAGGAATGATCTGTATGTGTGTGTGTGTTAGTGTGTACTACTATCTTTCTGAGGACCAGTTTGATTTAAAGCCTCACTTTTGGACACACTGTCAAAGGGCTGTTTAAAGTTAAGACTTTATTTGAGAGTTCAGCTTACAGTTAGGTGTGAGGGGCTAGGGAATTTACAATGTCAACGAGTGTACTCACGAAGATAGAAGTACAACTGTGTGTGTCTGTGTGTGTGTGTGTGTGTGTGTGTGTGTGTGTGTGTGTGTGTGTGCTTGTGTGTCAAACAGGCATTGAATGACCCTCTTGAGGACAAACGTTCAGATTATAATAGAAAGTCTATATCGCCGTCGTGGTACAGTTATTACTTCTTTGAGTACTTTAAATAAACTTATTTTCATCCATGTAAATTTTATTAGACAGAGATATGGAGTCCTGAAGACAAGTCCTACCAGGTCACCTTTGTGGTTGTGACTCTTAAACATGAACTGTCTTCCTTTAGGACACCATAGTCACCTTTAAAAAAAAAAAACAGCTCAACACCTGCTTGTTTGTTTCATATCCTTTAATTAAGTAAAATCATATAACAATGTAAAAAAAAAACCACAACAAGTAAGAGTTTTGGAATCAAAATCCAAGTATTATCAGCAAAATGTACATAAATATCAAAGTTAATACTCATTCCGCAATAAGATTTTCCCTGTAACTGATGACAGCATTAGATTGTAAATACAGCAGCTAGTTTTAACTACTCTATATAGAGCTAGGTAGTTTAGTAGAGTGGCTTCCAACCTTATGATTGGTTCCCTTCAAAGGGTCATAAAAAACTGAGGTGACTGAGATGGTATTAATGGAGTAAAAAAGAAGAAAGACATTGTTTCACAATAATATACTCATTTTTCAAGCTTGTCTCTAATCCTTGCTTTTTTCTTTAAAAAAAAACAAAAAAAACAAACAATTTTTATATCTTTGGACCTCAAAATGGTTTAATCTTGAACAATTTTCAGTCTGAAAAGTTCAACTGTAATTAGTGTGATAAATGTAGTGGAATGAAAAGTGCATTACTTCCCTCTGAAATGTTGTGATGTATAAGTGTAAAGTAACCTAAAATGAAAATAATACCTCAAGTAACTCAAAACTATAACGACCGCTGCTTGAAAGCACCAACCATTTGTACCTACAACTACAAAGAGCCCAAAATATGGGGATATTTTGAGTTTCTCTATATTCCCCAATTCTATGACCTGAAATATAATTGACAAACTAAATGTTGTGTATAGTAATGATAAATACTTCAGTTGGTCCATAATAACAGTTACGAAATGTACATTTTTATGTATTTACGTATTTCCTTATAAGGCCACATCAGCAGGTGCATTTGCCTTTGGCCTCCACAATGGAAGCTATGGAATGCGACAAGATGTGAACTAGTACCAAGACACTTTTCGCTTCCTTCTCTGGACCCTTGGCTCCTCTCCTACGGGACTAGTAACGAACATTATGTTTAGTATTTTGAATATGATTGTTTGTTGCCAAACTATCAGTGTGTACCTCAGGCTTATATTCTCAAAAGCTAATCGATATCCTCATAGAATTGAAAAGATAAAATCGGTTGAGGAAACGTCTCTGTCGAAAAGGGACTCGGACGGATTGAAGGGACCACGTCAGGATTCGGAAGAAATCGCCAGGCACGTGATTGGATGATGACGTCAAAAGCCGGTGCCGCTAAAGCTAAGTGACCTTCTTTACGACCGCCATAAACCGCTCACCGGCCGAGAGGAGCAGCTTATACCTTCACCGGAGGGATTTTAACCCGACACATTTTAATCAAAAGGTAAAATTTAAATCTTCCTAATGAGGTGTTGTTGCAAAGAGAGACTGGTTTCGCGATGTTAATATCCTAAATGATGCTGAAATACAACAGTGCTAAAAAGGATGACCGATAACGGTCGCTAACGTTAGCGCCCATGTTAGTGAATAGCTCGGTTTCTCTCTGTGCGTTGAGAAAAGTTTAATGAGCCTGATCTGTTAGTCAAGAGCAATGCAGTGCTTCTATGTTGAATCATTTCCCTTAAGACTCTTATTTAAGCTTGTCAGACGTCCCCAGAGTCCTCACGGGTGCGGTGAAGTTAATACAGCAGCGTTGAGTGCGATATTCAGATCCCGACATTGAAGCATCCTTGACAGCCTCAGTGGGTGACACATCACACACACACACAGCAGGCTTGTCAGGCCTAGCTAGTTCTTAGTCAGTGATCCCAGTCAAATAGAAACTCGATTTGTGAATACCACGTTTAGTAGCTGTATGTACATGAAAGCAGCAGTTTGTGGTGGAGAGTGCTGAGTGTCCTTGATGCTCCACTAGAAGGTAGCCCGCCATGTTAGACAGAGGCTGCCTGGGCTGTGGTGTCTAGGATAACTTTACCTTCCATTTTTTTCTAACGTTAGCTATCTTCTGCAGTCCTTTTCATCATGTTAGATGGCTGCTAGCTACTTAAATTTAAAACAAATTAAACATCGTTTTGTAGATACTTTCTGTATTTTATAAATGACTGTTGTAAGTGGCTTTTGGATGCAAGATGCAGGACCGAGCAATAAGTGTCACACCTGCAACTCTTGTGTTGCTGCGGTCGGTGCACACTGAAGTCATATCTGGACGTCCAAACCAGTGGTGTTGCGTCAAAATTTGTACCCCTTTAAATTGTTTCCCTAGCGACATTTAAACCCTATTTTAAGACACAAAACATACGAAGTAACTGCTTAACAGCGTAGCAATAGATAGACGGAACACAAGCTAATTTAGCAGAAGTTAATTAGCTGTCTATTCAGTTATAGTTAGTTTTTTGAGGATATAAGAAGCAAGGAAACGCATTATGCCGTAACACCGGTGTTGTATCACGTATCACTAACATACCTTTAGCTGGCTCGTTTAAACTCTTATTGGCAGGAGCGACACTTAAGAGCTTATCCGTCTATTAAAACTATCATTTATTCGACAAACCTGGCAGCTTTTCTAGTGCATTAACCCGAGCTAAGGGTGACCGTGATCGAAAGAAGGAGATGCTAATAAGAGTGATATAACGGGGGCTAATGGAGGCTAGGCTAACGTGCTTTAAGGGTCATCCGTTTCTTTTTTTCCTTGGCCAATTTCCTTGAAACGACCTCGGCAGGCTGCCAGTGCACGGGGGAATGTCATGACTCGTTTAAAGGCTAAGCAAAGAAAGCGGTGCTACAGGTACAGATAAAGTTGTCACCTTAAACGACCTTCACAATATGGCGCCTGTCACAGTAGATGAATGAGCTTCTTGCCACATCCAAGGTCTATGAATAGAAGAAGTTCTATGAATTGAAGATGTGTATTTATAGATGTAAATTAACAGATGTATGTTTATCCTTTTGACCTTTTTGAATTCTGCAATTTGTTCCCATTTAATAACTGAATTTCTGTCTTTTTCCTTTTTCTTTCCATTTGTTCTGTTTACCCTCCCTGTGTTTTTCCAGTTGACTATGGGAGACGTTGGCAAAGGAAAGAAGGTTTTCGTCCAGAAGTGTGCTCAGTGCCACACAGTAGAGGAGGGGGGCAAGCACAAGGTGGGCCCCAACCTCTGGGGTCTGTTTGGACGCAAGACTGGGCAGGCAGCGGGCTACTCTTACACAGATGCCAACAAGAGTAAAGGTTAGTTCACTGGTGGTTAAACAGAACTTTTAATAACCTCTGCCCTGAATATAGATCAAGTCAAGAGGAGGGCATCATTGCTTGAAGCTGACGTCAAGATATTTTACATTTTTCAGTGTAGTAATGATGCATAACTACAAACTGTGGAACATTGCTGCTAGACTGAAGCAATCGATCGGTAAATATTTCGATAATTGAATGATCGTTTTAGGCTTCAAGGCAAAATGTCAAATGTGCTACAGAACTTTTGTGCAATCATTCATTGATGTTGCCAGTAAATGAAATGATGAATATTACTTACTTACTCACTTATTATAGCTGATTACTGCCACTATCAATTAATCTGTTTGCCTTTTTTTATGAAATTCTAATATTTCTCAATTAAAAAAAAAAAAAAAAAAAAAAGTCAAGGTGGCATCTTCAAATAGTTTTTTTCCCTGAATCAACAGTTCAAAAACTCAAAGATTATCCTTTTATATTGATTATAAAATGAAAGCAAATCCTCACATTTGAGAAGCTGAACCCAGCAGATGTTTACCATTGATTTATGACCTTAATAATTAATTAATTCTCAACATTGTTGTTTAACTTTTTGTTCTTAGATTGATTGACTAATTGTTTCAGCACTAATTAAATTAACAGTTTAGTTACATACATACCTAACAAGATTGTCTGTTGGGTGAACTTTGACCACTGATATCTGGTCACTTATCCTTCTAGTGTGAAGGTCAGACCCCTCTTAGTTGTCTTTTAATAATCCATCTATCAAGCTTTCATCACTGATCATCTGTCTTTCCTCAGGCATCGTGTGGGGTGACGACACCTTGATGGAGTACCTGGAGAACCCCAAGAAGTACATTCCTGGAACCAAAATGATCTTTGCTGGCATCAAGAAGAAGGGAGAGCGCCAGGACCTCATTGCATACCTCAAATCTGCAACATCATGAGCTAGTGATTTAAAATCAGAATATTTAATGTCATTTTATTATGTTTTTTTTTTGTTAAATTTTAGGCTTGCACATGCTACATATGGCTTTATGTTTAGTCATTTGTACAGAAGGTTAATCTATGTTGTCTAGGGTTAGTAAAGTGGCACTTCATGTGAGCCAGTGAGTTCACAGCAAGTGTTACTTCCTCTTCAAGGACAGGGTGCGATCAATTGTTCAAGTGGCCAAACGTAAAACTAGTCTGTTTTTGTTCTTTTCTTTTTTTTTTGTGAATCTGTATTTTAACTCTAATGAGGAAAAAAAAAACTAATCACATAATTTAAAATTGCTGGCCATGATAGGTTGTCTGACCTGTAACTCATTCTGTTCTCCATGACAACACGTGTTTGGTACTTCCTGCTAGCAGAGCCATCGGCCATCGACCTCATTGTTAAAACTATAACACAAAAGTCATCTATTATCAGTTAGAGTGATATGGGGTGGAAAATCTTAGGATGTTATGGTGGTTATTTGGTGCTGACACTCAATCTACTCCCAGTTTTCATGCTAAGTGGAGTTTCTGACCTTTTAGAAGGAGTGACACTGAGCATTTTCTACATTCTCTCTTGTCTATCCTTAAATATTGCCCATTAGAAACTACTACTTGCCATGAATGCTCTCTAGATTATACAGACTGAACATTTTAATACCTCTTGTTGTGTTCTAGGACTCCTGACAGAGCCTGATTCTCTAGGTTACTGAAGCAACCCCTCTGAGCTCCTGTTTTTACTCCCTGCCTGTCATCAGCCTTGGCATGTTTTTAAAAAAAAAAAGAACAAAAACAGTGCAAAGGATGACACACTGAATTTGCCTCGTTACAGCTAAGAATTGTGGGGTGTAATTATATATTAATGCCTTCAAAACCACTACCAACATGCTGAGATCCCTACAGGTTGAAATCAGCTGGCATACAATCACCGTGCCGAACAATGTTGTGGAGCTACTGTATCATTTAGAAATTACTATGAAAGGTAACATCTGGATTAAAGGAAGATTTTGTTATTTACCTGGTTTCACAGGCCTGAAGGAATATTTTAACGTTTTAACTTATTTTACTGTAATCTGACTGAATCTGTAAAGTATTTTGATGGGGTTGCTTGCTGTCAGTGTATACACAGCAATATCCTGTATGCACTTAAACAATATTACAATGTGGTAGCTATTTTGTGTGGCTGTGGACAGGATGGTTGGAGGATCAATTAAAAGAAAACGTCCAGAAATGTAAACATGACTGGTTGTCTCATTTATTTTTTTTCAGTAAAATTCATAATCTGACATAAGTACTTGTGTTTATTAATTTATTTTGAGCTTTCACCTCATGAAGCATAAGCTGAAAAGAATATCAGTAACACATTTAGTTTCATTTTAATTGTTGGATGTTTATTGTGTTGGTGAAGAATAAGTAAAAATATGAAGAGTAATTAACATTTTATTTCAACATTAAAAAAGCCAATTCTACAAAAATCTCTGCAGCTGTGCAGATTTACAACAGATTCATTGAGGGAGGAAAAAACGTTGAATAATCTTAGCAAATCTTTAGCAAAACCACTAACTTAAGTCCATCGTAAAATGACAAGCGGACCATTTGTCCCTTATTGTCTTCTCTTGATCAAACCAACTTCAGACTGGCTGCTCCTGATTCTGTTTAAACAGGACAAAACACTTTGAAGTCTTCATTGTTTCCTGTTTAAAAAGCTTTCAGTTGATTAGATCTGGACTAACACCCATAAAAGTGAGATTTTCTGCCCCTTGGTCCTGTGTAAATACAGAGTTGATTTCATCACTCCTGATTGAGTTGGACTTAGGTCAAACTCTTGAGAGCCACACCTGGTCATACATTCACTATGTTATATAATCCTCCGCTGCTCCATGTTCTGTCTTTCTAGGAACTGAGGCAGCTGTGGGCAACTCAGGCCCCTCATGTTGTCACGTTTCCCCTAGGTCAAAGCTCAGCTGACAGCAGAGACATGTCTGGATCTGTCTGGATCTGTCTTCAAACAACCTCCCTGGCTACGCAAGGCAGAGTTAATTTAATTATTTGTGCTGTTAGGCTGTAAACGCATGAAATTATATGAGGATTTAGTTTGCGGAAAACAATAATTAAGATAAACAGCTGTTGAGGGTTATTCAGTTCCGCCTAATTCTAATTTCATATGCCTAGAGTTACTGTACATGATTTTCTCATTAGGAAACAAATATAAATTTAGTTTATTAGGTGGGATTGCTGCAAATATAATCCGACTATATGTTCATCTCAAAAATTCTTTATTGTAGGACATTGTTGGATGTGTTTAGTTTTTTGATATATTTCATTCTTTTTAAAATATTTTCTGACATTTTCTCCCATTATGATAAATGGATGGAATGCTAAAAATCTCCAGTTTTCCACAACTTTTCATGCATTTTTCAACCCCTTATACTCATTCACACTTTCAGGTAGAAACTCCATTCAAAAGACAAAAATATTCAGGAACTTTCCTTCATTTTTGGTTATGTTGAACTTTGAAATCCCAGTCATAGTTTTTACACAGTGTCAGCTGAAGTTGCACGAGCGTTTCTGGACCTTTCCAGAATTTTACATTAGTGTGTATGTGGTTGGAATGTTCACAGCTAGAGTGAGTGACATCACACAGAGGGAGTGACATCACACAGGGTGGGGAGAAGCTGTTCCTTACAGTGTCAAATTTCACTGTACACATATTATTATCACATATCAATATGTCAAATGTCAAACCAGAATGACCTTGCTGTATGCTAATGTCAAGGGGGCATACAACTCACAACCCTCTCTCTACTGGGCAGGTCTGACCACAACCTGGTGTATGAATTAGTGTATGAAAGAATGGACAAAAATATGGGGGTTTAGTGACACCTAGTGGCCAATGTTACACAGAAGATGAGTTTTGTAACACTAACATTTTTGTAATGAAAGTCAACAAACCACAGTTCTCACAACAGGAAATAGGATCCAGAGGCAAGTTCACAGGTAGAAACACAAAGGCAATGGTTAACAGGTGGCAACAGGCAGCAGGTAGTAAAGGAAATAATGGCAGCAATGCGCTTCTGAGGATGTACACAACCTGGAGAACAGGAGGGTTATCCAAGGACACCGACTTTTATGTGGATGATTAAGATGAAGGAGAGTAGAGAAGTTATAAAGTTAGTAGACCAAATACCTCTTCAGGTACTTGTCACTATTGTGGGGAAGGACAAAAGCACAGATTATATGATGTTGTAAGTGCACTGATTACAAAACTAAAACAATAAAAGTAAAATTGCATATCCAATAAGACTTGTTCATGTTGAGAGAGTGACTCATTTGAGTTTGACTGCAACTTTTTATATCACATGCTCACATGTGTATTCACCGGAAAATCAACCGATATAAAAGCTTGTATGGAAGTTTGTGTGGCCCAGATTTGAAATGGCAAGCACTGACGTCATATGGAATTTGTGGTGACATTTATAGAGCATAACAAGATACACACATACACACACACACACACACACACACACACACACACACACATGCACTCACAGAGTCAGCTGTAAATGAGGGTCTCCCTTTTGAGGTATAAATATAGCAGACATGTGACCCAAAAACAGGATTATGAATGACAAACAGGTGTGTGTGTTCATGGTGGTGGTGGGGGGTATACACACTTGTCTTTCTATACTTGTGAGGACCCTCAATGACAATCCATTGCCTTGCCTTTAACCTTAACCACCATCACAACAAAGTGCTTAAAGCCAACGCTTCCCCTAACACCAAGAACCAATCCTTAGAACCACGTCCTGGCCTGTAAACCTTAAATCAGGACTTAATAATAATAATAACAATAACAATGATTATCATAATAATAATAAACTTTACAGAGTTACAAGGTGTCTTACATAAGAAAATCCAGAAATCAGGCCACTATAAGTCAATAAATGAATAATAAAATTGAGATAAAAAGGAGTGAAATAATGACTTAGAAAAGATAAAACATATGAAACCAAAGTAAGACAAATGATAATATTAGTAAAAAGGTCTTAAAAAGATGTTTTAATATGTGAAAAGGGATTTTCAATATGTTCTGATTCTATTTTAGTCCATTTTTATCTAGTCTTAATGCCTTTTCTGACATATTTACAGCACTTTGAATTACTGTTGTTGAATTGATATACAAATAAACTTACTTTGCCTTACCTTGCCTTCACACGTCCTTTGAACTAGTGAGAACCACGCAAAATGTCCTCACAATGCAGAAATGTCTTCACTATGATGGTTTACAACTGAAATTGGTCCTCAAAAACACAGCAATACAAGACACCCCCATGTTGTCAATACATAGGTTTACTCTTGACTACATTACTTCTGGCAAAGCAAAAGTAACTTCATTCCATACATCATCAATATTACTCCAGATTTTAAACATGAATGTGTGAGCTTAAATGGCAACATGGGCTACACTTGAAAAACTTATATTTCACATGTATTTAATTAGTATAGTTCTCTAACACTTCAGCATTGGTGAACATTCACCCAGCAGCAGAACAGCACTTTAATTCACTTTTCATCCATAATTCTATACTGAATGAAGTTCCTCCTCACATCAAAGAAAGCAGCATTAAGTTCTGCATTATGTGTTATTATTAAACACATCATGCCTTATGGTGTTTTGTCGTGTGGTCACTTTAGTGCAGTTATATATTTGGCCACAAGAGGGAGCTGCTGTTTTAAGCTTTTCCAAGTCTGCTCTCCCCGAAGATTTACACTTCAGTTGCGTTTTCCTTTTCCATGTCTATTTCTATTGCCATTTTAAATTTAAAATTCACCACATTCCATGCCACATTTAACATTTTATTCTAATATCCATTTGTTGTTCAATATCCAATTACAATTTTTTGTTTCTTTTTTTTCTGTTTCACATTTAAATATGGAATCCTTTCAGCCATGCGACAGGAAGGTGGTCTAAACATGGCTGAGCAGTAGATGGAAAAGAGGGAAAGAAAACAGAAAACCTCCAGTGTTGCAGTTCCCAAACATTCCTGATATATTCAGATGACCTTACTGGGAATTCTTCCATCAGCCCCTCTTTCAAGCTGGCCATTTGCCATGGGAACCCAGCAAGTTTTTTTTTTTTAATCCCAGAATGCCCCTCTGTTAAACTGTTTAGCATTTGTCCGCAGCCATCTGTTTAACTGTGCTGATGTCTGTCTGTCCCTCTCTGAAGTCCTCGCTTGAAAGAAACAATTTGTCAGAAGTGAAAATATGAGGTGATACCAACGGCGTAGGTTTGCATATGGACAGTAAGGACATGTCCCTACCAATATTTTGGGGGTACAAAATTGTCCCTACTAGAAATAGAGAGAACTTGTTCACACTATGTTTGCAAAGAAGTCATATTATTAGTCATTCCAACGTGCCTTCCAAGAGGCTATGTCTCCTAGACAACCGATTTAGGCCTTTCTATACTATGACGTTTTTGCAACTTACTTACTATATGAATTTTTTTATGACTGACTATACTATTAATTTTTATGCCTTACTATACTATGACTTTTTATGCCTTACTATACCACGACTTTTTATGCCTTACTATACTATGACTTTTTTATGCCTTACTATACCACGACTTTTTATGCCTTACTATACTATGAAGTTTTAATGACTTACTATACTATGACTTTTTTATGCCTTACTATACTATGACTTTTTATGCCTTACTATACTGTGACTTTTTCATGCCTTGCTATACTATGAAGTTTTAATGACTTACTATATTATGACATTTTTATGCCTTATTATACTACTATTGTTTTACCTTACTACACTGTTCATTTTTTATGCCTCACAATACTATGACTTTTTTATGCCTTACTATGCATCTAAGATTGTTGATCGGAAGGATAGACACGTTATGTCTATCATATTAACAACATTGCATTTCCTCTTTAATAAGCTGCTCTTATGTTACAGCATTGTAGAGACACAATAACAAATTTTGTCTGGTTGTATTTGCAAAGCATTATAACCATACACAGCGTTCACATTATTCACGTGGAATAATAAATATTAGACTACAATATAGGAAATATCCAACAATTTAAAATTGTCATTGATAGCAGTAATCACCTTACTTGGAAATGTGTAATTTGTTGTGCTGTTGTCTAACCATTACATTTAAACAAAACAAAACACATATATTTCGGACTGTAGAGATGAGAGTCCAGATCTATTCTTAGTAGAGAAATTACCATAATGCAATGCAGTACAAAGTAGAAAGAAATTTGAACATATCTTATAAAGAGTGAAAAAGAAAAAAAACACAAAAAAACAAAAACATGTTGGAGTGAAGATGCAATCGGCATTTGCTTCATATTCATGTCCACTGATCCAAAGGTACTTGTGTAGTTTAAACTCAAACAAGCCTCAAACAGATTAGACTCTTGGATACACAGTAAAAACAACGCAATAACAATCACAGCTTAACAAAATGACATCACTTTGGTTTCTGTTACTTCATTGGAATATGTTAAAGAAAGTCACCGCTGTCTGGCGACAGTCCAACTTCAACAACAGCCAGTAAACTGATGTATTAGGCTCACTCCACAGGTAAAACTTTGGTTGTTTGAGGGGTCAAAAAGTTCCCAACACACCCAGTGTTGTGACTTCCACAGATGTAAAGCTTCATCACTATTTTCCTAGATCCAAGGGCTGTAAATCAGTCAGATCAGTCAGATAACAGTTTGCTTAACATCGTCAGCCTGTGAACAGCAAATACTTTTAACATTCAATAGGTTTCACTTGAATTAACTCAAATTCAAGATATCTCTAGTGTTGTTTTGACAAGTCATATAGATAGATATCATTCTCTATATCTTCTCTAATCGAAACTATGACAAGTCAACACTGCATTGAAGACTTTTGACTTCAGACCTTAGATAGGCAAATTTCTAATTGTAGATCTCTCTAATTAGATTCTCCGTACAACTCAAAGCTTAATTCATACAAATCAAAATGTAAGAGATAGAGTATCTTGAGTGAGCTTTTTTGATTATCATCATAAATGCATTGTGCATATCTTTATTGTAAGTTCAAAGACTAAAAACTCTGTTCAAGTTGGTGGAAACAATCTTCATGTGTGGTTCGTCAAGTCTTTGTAGATTCCAATCAGTCTCAAGGTTTATGTGTATTGTATGTACAGTATAGTGTATGTATGTAGATGTGTGCAGGTGTAAAAGGGTCAAATGTATCTGATGTGTGAGTAGTTGAATCTGTCTGTTTTCCGTCTAAACGGAGAGGTCATCTGCTCTCGTTCGGCTGCTCGTTCCGCTGGTTTTGCTGAATCTTCGTTTGTCCTTCTGACAGAGCCCACCATTCTGGCAAAGCAGCAGCCCGTCTGGTCCACCATTTTCAGTCTGAGGGGGGCAGCTGATGTCCCTGCTCCCAGGGCTGTAGCAGTTAGTATCAGTCCTCATATATCCACCATCTTGGATCTGATTTTTACTCGCCCTCTGCCACCCATGTGAGTAGCAGCTCATCTGGAGGAGGGTCTCCTCCTCTACTGCGGCGGCTATTTTGTTCTTCTCAGTGAACATGTTCTCTGAGTTTTGTTGGTTAGCCAGGCGATGGGTCGGGAAGGGCAGGGGCAGGAAGTGCGAGGAGCCAATCATACACTGGGTGAAGTCTGGAAGTGGGGTTGATGGCGGTGGAGGAGACAGAGACAGCTGTCGGCCCAAAGAGGCTTTAGCAGGAGTGACGGCCTTCTTTCTGAGGAGGAATTTTCTGCAGAGGATTGTGGGAAATTAGATTTTAGATGGTGTAAGATCTTTGTTAACATCCAATCACACAAATCCCCATTTTTCAATCCATATGAATACCTTAATAACTCAAACCCACAACACCACAAGATTATAGTCTTTTAAACCCAAACCTGTCCCACAAAATGTGTGTAAGAATACACAGAGCTCCTACCTGCAGCAGTGTTTCCAGGCCAGGTGATACAGCTCAATCACACTGAGGACCAGAGAGACGGCCGACACAGCCAACATGAACACTATGAAGACATTCTTCTCCGTCGGTCTGGAGACGTAACAGTTCACCGGATGTGGACATGGCCAGGCCTGAGAGAGAGAGAGAGCGAGAGAGAATGACTGTAGGCTTGAATATGTTTTATAAGATTAACTCAGAATCATTCAGATTTGTGTTTTTTTACCTTGCAGACATACAGCGGATGGAGAAAGATTCCATACAGGAAGTACTGGAGACACAGAAACACCACCTGTATGGAGGGACAATCACAGTCAGCTGCTTTCATGCAGTATGCTCTATTGTCATTTATAATTATAGTACACAGTGGAGCAAAGAGGAAGACAATGAATAACCCTGCATTGATGATCTTTTTGGACTATGTGGGGGCAGAAGACTTTCATAACAAGCTGACATTATCATTCATTTGGACGTGTGTTTTTTGTCACCTAATGAATTGAAGTCCAATATTCACTCCATTTTTATCTCTGTATTTCGTCAGAGGTGTAAAAGTAGTATTTACCTCCATGATGGTTCGTAACACTATACTCAGCACGTATGTCTGCAGCAGCGCTCCCTTCAGACGAACTCGACCTGTTGATGCCCCCTCGCTTTTGTCCTTTTCTTCCTCCTTCTCTCCTTGTTTCTCTCCTCCTCCTCCTCCTCCTCCTCCTCCTTCGCCTCCTCCTGGATCCTCCTCTCTCCCACCTCCATCTCCCCCCTCTTCCTCTCTGTTCCTCCTCTTCTCCTCCCTGCGAACGGTGTGCATGGCGTGGCCCATGTAGATCAGGCTGGGAGTGGACACAAACACGATCTGGAGCACCTGGGAGGAGACGAGGGAACAACCCAACAGTCTTGCATGATGTTGGATATTAACAACAATCCTCATATAGTTCACATTATCCATTTTTTCCCCGGTATCCATCAGGTTTATAGTTAAAAATATTCCTAATCCATCACGGTGAAGGTGCTTGCAAGAATTTGGAAAATTGTGTTTCGAATGGTGCATTCAAGGACATGCCAACATCGCTGTTAGTTGGTCATTGTTGAGGATATCATAAAGTCTTGTTTTGATCAGAAAAAATTAAAGGTAAATTTCACACGTTAAAACTTGAAAATGAACACAAACACAATAGAATGGTTAATACCGAGGACTTCTTAGCTGCAAATTAAAGTCTATGCAGGTTCACACTCACCTGAAATGAATGGAAATCAATGGCTGCAAGGAGGGCAGTAAATTAATCTTAAAACTTGTGATTGATGTCCGTCAGAATTAAACATGTTGCACAACTCTTCTACAACAACTCTTTCTACTCTGATGACATCCAAGACAACATTGTTGAATGAAGAATGGTAGAGCTACTCTTTTAATTTTGATAAACTGCCATTGAAGTTTTAAGTCAGATCATTTCAGCACAGTGTCTTCAGTCATTCTGCTGTATGGTGTATTACCCAGTATCGTATATGCGCTATAGGGAATGCTCGGTCATAACAGACGTTCTCGCAGCCGGGCTGTTCAGTGTCACAGTTAAAATCTTCCTGTTCATCTCCCCAGGACGACTCGGCCGCCGTCCCGAGTACCAGGATCCGGAAGATAAACAGGATGGTCAGCCACACCTGTTGAGCAGAAACCACAGGAACCTAAATCAACCCCTCAGATCAAAGACTGTGGGATGGAAACAAGTCAAATTATCAACTTAATGCAGGAAGTTTTGAATAGGACTTCAGTTTGTGTGTGTCTGTGTAAGACAGTATGTCTCTACTTTGTTTTATACTCTGAGCCATGTTTTTCTAAAGACGTATACAGTTGATTTTGGTCATTATTTTAGTTTAGTTTGAAGACGTATAAAAATTCTCAGCGCTAATGTAAAGTTTATATCATATTATTATAACAGGACCCAGACAGCAGCAGCTGGTTTACCCAAAATAAACAGGATGATTTGGAAATATATGAATGTTTAATTTATAGTGACTGTTTATATGTCTGTTTACCTCATTGTGTGTGTGTGTGTGTGTGTGTGTGTGTGTGTGTGTGTGTGTGTGTGTGTGTTACCTTGCCAACAGAGGTAGAATGCTCCTGCACTTCCTCCAGGAAGTTTCCCAGCAGGCTCCAGTCTGCCATGACTCAGCACAGACTTTTCAGCTCGCCAGCCGATAAACTGTCAGCAGTCACTCTGCAGGTACAAGATTCACCTGAGGAGCAGAGAGCACACAGGTTTCAGACTCCTCAAAAGACACAGACAGCGCCCTTTAAAATGTTTTAATATATCCACTGGATTTTCTATTTGTGTATGAAAAAAACCCATGCGTAAATGCTGGAAAAGTAGAAAAGAAAAGGTGCAATATCTGAACTTTTTACACTTGACTGAGGTGGAAAAGTGAAGTGCAATGGAAATAGACTTGAATAAATCATGAAGTATATGCAGTATGATTTATAAGGGTGTTTCCTGAAAGCTTCATAACTGTCTTCCTGTTGTGCCATCTTTCTGTGCGGTGGTTTATGTAATTTGCTGCCAGACAGGAGTCATAGCTGCCCCCAACTCCTCATATCTGCAGAACTGTAGTGGATGGAAACATTTTTCTGGCAATTAATTTTGGTTGTTGCTGTAACCTGACTGCTTTGTGTGTGATGGTGGTTAGTGTGTGTCTGTGTGTCTATGTGTGTGTGTGTGTGTGTGTCTGTGTTCGTCTACTATCAGTAACCCTCTCTCCTCCCCGGCTTTGACCCCATTAATAAAAATGTCTGTGCCCATGTCTTAGTTTAGTTTCAGTCTCAGTTCCCACACTCCTCCTCTGTCCGTCTCTGGGGAAGGAAAAACTAGACATTTACTGTAAACACTGCTACCACCTACTACACACACACACACACACACACACACACACACACACACACACACACACACACACACACACACTCACTCACACACACACACTGGGCTAGCATTCCTACTTAGAAAAAACAATATAGTTACTATTTTTCTCTTCTTAGATCAAATAGTGGAGTTAAATAAAGTGGATCAAGAATAATTCAGATTGAAATAATTCAGCTCAGTAAAGAAAAGTCCTAAATTTGACACTGATTTTGTATTTCCAGTTTTTACTCTTTTGGTGCAGGTTGCACTTGCAGGGAGCGTTTTGAACAGCTTTGCTTATTTGTTGCTTCAGGGAAACTTCATCATGCAAAATGTAATATTGGCCTGTGTCATCAAGTGTTTATAAGGTGAAGGGATTTGTTTAAACTGTGGAGTTATGAAGTTAGAAGGGATATTTTAGGAGTAGCAATCAGTTTTTCCCATAAACAGTGTTAGGTGACTCACAGTAGGAGAACTCCTACGGCTTTGATCAGCTGGAGTCTTTCCTGGTTCAACCATTAGTGCAAAAAAAAAAAAAAAAAAGGAAGAAAAAAAAGATCTGGTTCTCAGATAAATGTAAAAGCCTGTGCGCATATGATGTTAACCACCACTCCCATTGTGCTTTTTGACAAGAAACATCCAATCAGAGAGCTTGAAATTCATGCTACGTGAGTGGAAGCTAAAGATAAGAAAGCAGGTACAATCGCTAAGGACAAATCTCAAACTGCAGTTAGTTATTGTTCGTAACTTTGGACTTTTTTACTGTACATCGACAACTTTGAACTAAACCTAAAGATCCTCGTCAGACAGACTAAAACACTATGATAAGCAAAACACAATTTCAGTGGAGGGTGAGCACTTTTCAGCAGAATTATTCACACTCCCGTCATTTGATTCAACATATTAATTCGATGTCTTTTCCATATGCATGCTATTTAAAGAGTGTATTTTTGTATTTTGTATTTTTAACATTTTTACTGGCATTCAGATTTTAGAGTCTGTTTCAGATGTTGTACAAACTGTCCTACGGTCAGATGAAGCACAAAGATGAACTTAAAATCTGCCTGCAGGAAAAAAAGCCATAAAACCACAGTTTCAGAGAGATTAAGAGTTTAAAGTCAGATCCCAGATTTTTTTTTTTAAATGCCCCTTAAATGCCCCTCCCATCCTGTTTTTGTGAAACACAAAGGCTTTGAACAAACCGTGTGTGAGTTTGTGTGAGCGAATATGTCTATGTGTATTTATGTCTTTCACAAGTGCTCCCAGCATCATTAATAACAATATTACTTCCTTGTATAGACTTTCTCTTGACCTCTGTGTGCATGTGTGTGTGTGTGTGTGTATGCGCGTGTGTGTATTTGTGTGTGTGTGTCTTATCAAGACAGGATGCAGAACAATACTGAGTGCTGGTGAATGGGCATACACATGCACGCACACACGCACGCACGCACACACTCACACAGACACAGACACACACACGCACGCACGCACGCACACACTCACACAGACACACACACACACACACACACACACACACACACACACACACACACACACATACACACACACACAAAAGGAAGGCTCTCTTTCCTCTGTTGGTTTAAAATAATAAATGATGTATTTGACAGCACTCGGATATGAGGATTTTTTAAATCCGATAATAAACTTTATTTATGACTTGCACTATTAATATTTTGCAATTCAGAGTATTAATGTGTCGACATGATAAAACTTTGAGACATGGGAGTTACTTTAGAAACAAAACCAACAGATAAATCAAGACTAAAACAGGTCAATACCAAATTTCCAATTAAAATTTTTTGTTTAATTTCATGATTTACTGCTGATTTACTTTCTGCTCTTAAAACACTTTCATAAACACAAACATTCGTTTGTTTTTCTTACACTAAATCCTGAAACATTCACCCCGGGGTGACTGTGGAAACTCAAGGTCATGATGCATTTTGGGAAAAAACCTCGACATAAGTTTGAAGACCTTTTCATTTGTTGGAGCTGAGCCTTCAGGAAACTTTTTAGATCTTGTGTAAATCCATCTGTCTACTTGTCCATCACCGTCATGAAGGAAATGAATCTGGTTTTTAGTGAAATATCAGATATTGGAGGCGCACTTGGGCTGTTAAACCTGCAATGCTTTTCTTTGTATTATTATTTTTTCATTTTTGGGGATAAAAAAAATTGGAATTTTCTAGACCTAACGCTGTATATCATTCAGTATTGAAAGATGCACAGGAGAAGTTTCATAAATGTGAGTCTCAGTGGAGAGTGTACTGTCCCACAGAGATATAAACAAAAACATCCTTTTCTGCCATGACAAGGATAAAATTAATGAGGAAACACAGAATGGGTGAAATGCTTGAAATTTGTGATAGTGCACACGCAGGTAAATATCTTAACGTTAAAGCATAGAAGTCTGAAGACGTCAGTAGACTCCAGAGACACCTGATGGATGCGTGCACACACTTTACCTGTTTTAGGATACAGAGATGCAGATGTTTGCACAGCTGGAGTGAGGCCCTGAGAAAATCTTGACAAAGTCGTTTAAAGTGGCTGCTGTCGTATTCCTCGGCAGCTGTTTTTGTTGAAGTGCTGCTGAGCAAGGCGCTTCCTCCTCTCCCCTCCTCAGCAGTTAGCAGCGGCAGATGTTGTAAGTGTGTTGCAAAGGTCCAGATGTCTTCCAGCTGTTGAGGCTGTGTTAGTGTTTTCTTCTAGAGTCGCCGGTTTGTGTGTTGATGTCCAACTGATCTGAGGTTGAGACAGCTTCAGGTTCTCAGCAGAGAGTCAGACAGATGAGAAGGTGGGTTCATTCAGGCAGAACTGACAGAGAGACAGTCTGAAGAGAAACGTCTGAGAAACTGTGGTTTGTATGAGCCTCCTCTCTCTCTCTCTCTCTCTCTCTCTCTCTCTCTCTCTCTCTCTGTCTCTCTCTCCATCATCTACATCTCCAGAGGAAATGGGCCTGGTGCCTTGCTGCCTGCTATTCAACCCTTATGTATGTGCATGTGTGTGTGTGTGTGTGTTTGTGGTGTCTGGCATCTGAAGGAAGTCAGATATTGTATTAGGACACAATGGCTGCAGGTCCCAATCCTGCATTCCTTCAGGTCCATTCTTCTCGACATGACTCTCTTTGTGTCACTCGCCCTCTGTATTCAGCAGCTTAACTCCCGAGACTGAGAACAAATTTAGAATATAAACCAACAAACATCTGTTTACACCTTCCATATTCACTGAGCAGCTTGAACCCACCGTGTGACAGAAAATAGCCGCTCGCCTCCATCAAATTCAGCCTAAATTCAAGCAAATTTCCAAACAATTCTGAGGCCAAATTTTCTAAAATACTCTTTTCTTTAACTAGTGTTTGATGGGAAAATTCTCAAAAGCACAAAAATTTCAAAAAGGCACATTAACTCTTAATAAATTGAAGCTTTCATTCTTGCTTGTTGAAGATGAAAAAAGTCTGACCCGGCAACGTATTTGCTCATTTAAATTAGTCGCATGTTCACACACAGTAAGTGTCAGTGTATGTGTGTGTGATGCTGCAGTGTTAACTACCTGATATAAAACCATGAAGAAGGAGAAGGTCCAGCATCATAGCATGTTAAAGTGTTTCCAACTGTTCCAACAAACACAGTTGTAAGTGTTGGTGGGTGGGAAGCCAGTGAGGGATCATGTCCTTGTTGCTGCGCTAGTGTAAGGTGAGATTTAATTTTGTAAAGATTTATTTATGTAGATGACCTAATTTTTTTTTTTAGGTTTATTGAGATGATTGGAATAATTGGAGTAACTACAGTGCAGGGACACTGTTTATATAACCATAAAGGAAATGTAATATATGACATATGTGTCCCTATATAAACAGTGATGTTTCCATATATGTCAACTATATTCCTCTGAATATATGAAGATATACGTTTATAACATATATGAAATACCCATAGTAAAATTTGTATATGTAGATATATTAAAAATATCTAGAGAACACAAATGTTTTCTATGTAAAAACTATGTGTTAACATATTTGATTTATTTATGCAAGTTTATTAAGACAACTTACGTGTTAAATGATCTATATGTTTATATATGTTTTAATTATTAATTTCTCATTAATTTTAAACATGTCTAACTTCACATTCTGGGAAAGTGGTCTCAGACTTTTGGACCCTACTGTTTATAGTATCAACATATACTGACAAGTGGTGGGATGGAAATATATTTATGTAACATATGTCTACAACATAAGCATACATACATAAATGTATATATTTGTACAGGCTGGATATTTATGTCAATATATGAAATTTTTCCAATTTCTAATAGGGTTCATATATAATGTTTTACATATATGTACATATAAAATAAAAATGTATATTTCATATATGGAAATTCAATATATATACATGTATTACATTTGTGTATGGGTATTGTATTCTGTTCCTTAATTTAGATTTGAGACAGCATCATCCTCTCTGTGTGATGGTTAAGATTGGCGGAGTGATATGATGTGAGGCAGTGAGGCTGTGTGCGACGACGGTTGTGGGAGTTCAGTTGTCCTACTGTGGGAGTGGACATTGAAGTGTTCAAGTTAGCCGGATGAGGCTGTCCCTGTGTAGCTGCTAAACCTACGACTCAAATGTGGATGGATTCACTAAGATCTAAGTTTATCGTTATATTGTAATAATATATATTGTATTTGTAGCAACTTCTGTTTCTCCTACTGTTTTTATATGTCTCTCTTTCCATTTTCCTTTTGTTTTTTCAGACTTTAAGTTCAGTGCAAGTCATTCCAACTTTAATCAGAATCAATTGAACTCAAATAATTTTAAATTTAAGATCAATTAAGTGGCATGTTTTTGCCTAAAAGTAATGAAACAGAATTGCCAGAGTAACAGGGTGTAACATGATTCAAAGCCCTTTAGTATCAACAGTTCATGACTGCAGGATGACAGAGGGGTTAAGTATTTTTTGACAGAATTATAATCGAGGCGTCTTTATCCAGTCTGGAAAATTTATAGAGGCTGTGTCTTTTCTTCCAGAGACCTTGTGATGGTGTCAAGTGCACACTGGTTTCCTGCAGGCCATTATCAGTGTGCGCTGTAGTGAGGACTGCAGGAGTTCCCCTCCATTCATCTGAGACAGTGGTCACGCCATGTGATGCTTAAAAGCATGGTGGCGAACAGCACGACCGAAACAGAAGCTCTTTAGTGTCTGCCAAATATAAGACAATCTTCAGTTTGTAACCTGATTGAAACAAGTGTCTCTAACTCTGAATTAACACGGTGAAACAGTGAAGTGATGCCATGTAGTAAAATTCAGGACCCGTGCCTCGTACCACGTAATTTCACACATTTAATTGATGTGAATATAATGAGCCTCCTCTGGGTTAAAGAGGGGACAGATAACTTCTTTTTGTTGATTTGATAAAAGCCTTTCCATTTCAAACACATGACTTTTTCATCAAAGCTGAGCCTTCAAACCGCAATTTAGGCTTCTCACAAAGTCTGCGTGACACTACAGGATTGATAAACAAGGCTTTGTCTTGTTCCGAACCGCTTCAGGTGATTAGAACCAAACTCACAACCATCACAGTGAAACTTTGTATGTGTGTGTGTGTGTGTGTGTGTGTGTGTGTGTGTGTGTGTGTGTGTGTGTGTGTGTGTGTGTGTGTGTTTGGTTGACTTTGATTTACTCGTTACTTGTCACACACTGAGCCAGCTGAACATTTGTCACACTTAAAACTCAAACCTGAGATCCTAAAACAAAAGCTTGAGCGAGTCTTTCATATTGTTTAGAAAATTAATTCTGTTTTCTGATTTGATTCTGATTCGTGACGTATCATTGAGCCGAATTCTTCTTGACGTACGGGAAAAGAAACCAGGAAAAAAAAAGGGGAGAATTTCCTCTTCTCTGTTTTCACAGCGCTTGCTCATTGTGGGAACTGAACTGTTGGGTTTCTCTTTATAATATTGTGAGGTCTTAACCTTATCCTGTGAAGGGCCTTGAGATAATGTATGTTGTGACTCGGCGCTATAAAAATAATATTGAATTGAAGGTAAGAAAACACATAAAACAAAGAGATTATGCTGGTAAAATTAATAAAACCATTCATTAGAAGGTAAAAATGTATTTATCTTCCTAATGAATCTAAACTTCATGGTATAGTATAAAATAATAATGTTGGTTTTTAGTTCAATTTCAGCTGCAGTGATTCATTTTCACAGAAGCTGCTCCTCAACACAGATAAAAAAAAAGCCTCAAGTTATGGGAGATAAATGTAATTTTTTAAAACAAGTTTATAGGATGTTATCTCAGTTTATAGATTATTAAACTGTCACAGTTCACAAGTAACTAAAAGATAGTCTAAGCCTCAGGGAATCAGTCTCACATAAAACCAGACCTGCAGAGTGAGAATATAAAAGTTTAACTCAATTGCATTTTGTTGCTTGTGAAGTTAATCATGACATTTGACCAAGACTTTTGGTCTTTTATTTTTATCTGTCAACGAATTTACTTCCATTTCATGAGCTTATTTATCTATATACAGAATTATAAAATAATAATCAAAAACAATAAATAAACATTTTCATAACCATTCAATTAATAAGAAAAGCATAATCACTGCAGCACACAGAAGTAACAGTTGTTGACAAGCAGAAGTCAGAAGTTTAAAGATGTATTTGAACAGGTGGATGGGAGGATGAAACTTGTTAAATTATTAAATAATTTGAGGATGATGTTTAACGCGACACATCTAATCATCAGTAAGGTCTCCAGACAGGCTCCTCACCTCTTATAGAAAGACACGCCCCTTCAATATAATTGGTCAGTGACGTGACAATGTTTCTATCCTCCCCTGCGGTTTGGAGCGGTTGGTTGGGTCCGTAATAGAAGCTGCCAGGCTGGAACGGACCACTGTGGCTCAGCGGAGGGGGAGGAGGAGGAAGAGGAGGAGGAGGAGAAGACAGGTAGGAGCTGTAAGGAGAAGCCTGGGTGGTGTAAGGGAGGGTGGGCAGGTGGTGCATTCTGGGAGTTGGAGTGAAGGAGGAGGTCAGAGAGGTCACGTGGCCCAAGAACGATGGTTCATTGGTCCACAGAGAGGAGGTGAAGGATCTAGAGTCTGGAGGGGAAGAAATGATTTCTGCGTCAGGAGCTTTCGACCGTATGTCATCATGTTCTTCATCAGGAGGAGGAGTTTTTCTTTTTTTTTAAATTTCAGTTTAAATGTAAATTTATTGTTCCTATTATCACTTTTCAACATTGTCCTGTTCTACTCAGCATAAACACTGATGTGGTTGGTTGAGCAGGAAAACATATGCATTCAACAACCAACACAACTTTCTCACATGTTTACTTTCTGATTTAAAAGATAAATATTTTAACTAACACACCTGATGATGTGGCGCTTCTGCTGGACGGCCTGAACACTCCTGACTTCACCTCCTTCTGCCTTTGTCCTGAGAGAGAGAGAGAGAGAGAGAGAGAGAGAGTGAAGAAGAAGACAATGAGTCTGACTGAAAGCCTGGAATAAACCATCACATCATCACCACTGCTGTGCACTAACGTCGAGGCAGTCGCGGCCCATCCACAGTGATCTTGATGGCCCTGTGTAGGGTGGCGATCTGAGGGGGCGAGGTCAGCACATTGATAGAGACGGTGAAACTCTTGCCTGAAATAAAAAACACAAGTACATGTAGAGTAAAATTATAGAGGCTTTAAAAGCAATTTAAGGTCAAATGTGTTATTTTGGGCTTCAGAAATACACAGATAGTCCATGATTGATAGACTGACAAGTATTCCTGTCTTCTTTTAATTTATCCTTCTAACTTTAAGATGGTTGTCTGAGGTACAAGGCAAAACCATGTATCATCCAAACTGTATGGAAACCAATAGAGGAGGAGAAGGTGTTACTGTCCTTTCTTTACATCATATCAGTACAGTATCTGACCTCTCCCGCTGCGGCCTATGAAGCGGAGGTCGTTGAATTGGGCGCAACCTTGCTTCATGGTTGCTGTGGCGTTGCGCAGCTCAGCGCTGCTGTTGTCGTCGTTGCCAGCCATCACTGTGACAACCACACCATCTGGCACGTCGTCACCCAGGGCAACCACCTGAAGGATGGAGAAACTTTAGTGTTAGTCCCTAGCATGATTTGTGCAGTGCATGGAAGGATAAAGTCAGGGTGAAATGTCCCTAATTTTTATTTTTGATAGATAGATAGATAGATAGATAGATAGATAGATAGATAGATAGATAGATAGATAGATAGATAGATAGATATATTGATTGATTGATTACAGTGAAGGTTCTCGGCAGGGTCTTGTTACACCTCCAGTGCTGGGGCAGGCTGCTGCAGAGGAAGTTTGGGCTGTCAGTCTGTACCAGGCCTCTGGGGGGCGCTGTGCTGCACTGGTGGAGGCTCCGCACCTCCTGTTCTTCCAGTTGGAGGTTCGTGGGCGATGGTGTTGGCCGACGCTTCACTACAGAATCTGACAGGGAAAAAACATGGGGAAAGATCGTAAATATATATAAATATACATATATACATGTATATATGTAGACCTTTATTAAGATAACAAAACAAAAATCTAAAATATGAAATCAAGCTAGTTAGCTAATTAATCTAGCACTGATCTGGCGGCTAAACAATTCAAAACGAGTAAAACAGATGTATTAAAGTGATTACTTATACAGAAGATGCTGTCTACCGTCATTCTACCTTTATTCCTCTTTTACTCGACATTTTTCCGCAGAATAAAACGTGAAATATTTTAATGACAACGGGTGACACGCTTTTTTTGGACCACGAACGCTAGACAACTACAAGTACCACAAACCGCTGTGCGTCCGAGATACACATACGTCATCAAATCGCGCCGAAAATCGAACAAAACGAAAAAGTATCAGTATCAGTGGCAACGTCTTTCTGAACGACTTTGGTGAGAGTTTTGACTAATTTTAGCGCTTTGTCCGTGTCTTCGGCTCTACTCCTCTTCCTCCTCCACCTTCAAATTCACCTCCTCCTCCACCTCCTGCTCCTCCTTCTCCTTCTCCTCCTTTCTCTTTTCTGTTTTCTGCATTGTGTTTTATTCACCGCAGTCTTTGAATAGGAGGGAACTGCTCTGTATTATCATTCACATTTTACTACCGGAGCGGAAGTTACTGCGGTCACTACACCTGTGTGTGTGTGTGTGTGTGTGTGTGTGTGTGTGTGTGTGTGTGTGTGTGTGTGTTTGCCTGCCTCAAATCTGTTCTGCTATCTTGTTATTTTAGGCTCAGCTCATTATCTCAGTTTCTCTAAATATCTTTTGTTGACGCTGACCACCATCAGTGCGCACATGAAATTGTTTTTGTTTTGATTTCACATCTTAAGACTTTGAAAGTTTCATTCTTCATTTTATTTTGTTTTACTTTGCTTCTCAGTTATGAGCATGAGAACTGAATATCTTTCGGTTTTGCTCTGACGGTTGGAAACATTTTTTCTTACATTTTCTAAATCAAATGATGAATCACTTTACTCAGGAAATAATTAGCAGATTGATCAATAATGATGATAATAATGCAGCCCAATATTTTTTTTTAATGATACTGCACCTTTGTTGACAGGTTAGTTTGTAGTGCAGCCTTTTTATTATCAGGTTTGTTGCTACAAGAAAAGTGTCTCTAGAGATCAAATATTGATCTTATCGACATACAACACATGCTGTCTGGTAATGCAGATTATATACATGTGGTGTGATGGTGAGGGAAAATAAGTCTTCAGTTTTTTTTATTCCTGGTTTAATGCAGCTCTGTGTCTTTGTTTTGTTCATGCCATCAGGTTGGGAGTGGTTATGAGCAGTCCCATGGCCGGCTCCACCGCCTCCAGCTCTAAAGACCGTCCGGCTTCCAGGACCAGCTTCATCCCAGAACTACAGAGCATGATGTAAGGCACACACACACACACACACACACACACAAACGAAACTCACCCCAGTACAGCGTGGGGCCGCCGCTGCTGCTGCTGCTGCTGCTGAACAGACTGTTTGAAGCCATAGAAACCTGTTTAACAAATGACACAATAACCAGACCGGGAAGTATTTTGGCTAATTATACTTTGCAAACACCAAACTGCCTCCAGGACATAAAACATCTTAATACATTCTGTAATACACTAAAATCATAATAAAAATAATAGTAAAAAGGTTGTTTACTTGGCAAAATATAAGCTTAAGTACAGATGATGTTTTTGTTTTAATGTGAAACATAATAAAAGTGAAAACATTGCACTACTGTTTCATTGTTAAGGGATGAAATAGAAATAGCAGAATCTGAAGTATGTGAAAGAAATATTACAGTAGCATCATCACTAAGTAATAATGCAACATGTTTGGCTCCAGAAATTGGGGACAAATTGATAATTGATTAATAAATAGAGCTGGACAAAAAAAAAAAAAACCTTGTTCATGTTCCTAGAAATACTTCATCAGCAGGCAGAAGGTCTTTTATCACAATAAAGGCAAATAACATAAAGTCAAGTTGAAATTAAGGGGCACATTTTTCCAAATCTGTCTTCGTAATAGAGCTAAAACAATTTATCTATTAATCAATTAGTCATTAGACAGAAAATTAATTTGCATCATTTATGACCTTTTTTTTTAACCTTGTTCCAGTAACTGAATATCTTTGGGTTTTCGGTAACAGTTTTCACCACTGTCTCACGTTTTCTAAACCGAATGACAAGTCAGTTTAGTCGGGACATAAGTGGCAGATTATTCAATAATGAAAATAATAACGCAGCCCTACTTTGTAGCAGAACAAAAATGAATAATATCATATAGTTTAATAAAAGAATAAAGTACATTTCCTGAAATCTGTTCTTGAAACATTTTTATCAAAAGAAAAACTGATTAAAAATGAATCTCCTGCGAGTATGAAGAGACAATGAGAACAGGAGGAAAAGGACAAAGACATTGTAAGTATTGCATTATATTGTGAGTGAAATGTGTCTGCATAGAAAAAAAATTTAATTGTTTTTCTGTCACAAATGAGATAATTTTTCTAAAGACGCGACCTCCCATCAGTGTGTGTGTGTGTGTGTTTTGTGGTACTCACCTCGTGCTGTGTGTGGGCTGCAGAGAGATGTTGTTGGTGGTCAGAGAGGCTGAAACCCAACTAAACCCCAAAACCTAAAACCAACGCTCAGCCTGAGACCAACCTGCCCACAATCCCAAACCAAAGCCAGGCTCACCTGTGTGACTGACAGCTGCAGACAGCCAATCAGCTGCTCCCAATAAGGGGGGGGCACAACGAAACGACAAAGCGCGGGGGGGGGGGGTCAGGTGTTCGTATGTGTCGGAGAGAAAGAATAGATGGAGAGACAGAGGGGACGAGAAGAAATGAGAAAAGGAAAGAGCTTCAGGATGTGGCTTTAGGTTCTGCTGCCGTCGTGGAAGTGGCTTGTCTGGATGCAAATTGAGGTTTGACCAAATTGTGGTCAAAGTGTGTGCGGACCTCAGTGTGTGTGTATGAGACGGACAGAGACAGACATTTGGGAGCTCTGTTTTTATTCGTTTAATGTTTTGCCTCATGAGTTTTCTTACTTAGAGATGCAGATTACTGGTGAGACAGACTTTATGTTCATGAATTTAACCTGAGCGCTACAAATGTAAAATTAACCAAATCTTATATGATACCTAAGTTTTGGTATGATACCAAAATGATACTTTTTTTTTATTTTCCTTAGAAAACCATGTTTTTAATTTAACAAAAGAAACAAATTTCACAAATAAATATTGTGCAAAGACGAGCAGCCGTATAATAGAATATAAAGTTGTGAGCAGTTAGCGTCAAAATCAGCTTGTTTCTACTTTACTCTCTGTCTTTATGTGTTTTTTCCAGGTTCGCTCTGGGAGACGCTCGCAGGCCTCTGCACGAGACGGCGGCTCTGGTGGAGGACATTGTACACACACAGCTCATTACTATGGTAACATACTCTTGTACACAGACGTAATGGTGATGATGAGCGGTTCGGGAATGTATAAATTCTTTTTACAATTCCTATTTTCAATTTCTATTAAAACATGAAATTAAGGAAATGCTTTAATACTTTTCCTCTGACGTCTCTGGTCCTCTATAGTTCTGTTTGTGAATTACCCACACACTTTGAAAGATTTTTGTGATTATATTTATGGCAAAATTAGAACTAGATATGTAAGATATATATTGTATTTACATGACACAGTAGATGGATAACTTTGTCTGCCTTGTCTCATCGCTTCAATGTCGTATCAACTGAAAAAAGAAAGTCCAGACCTTTAACAGGATTTTCTTGTTTCTTGTCATTGTGATAAAGTTGATTTCAAAATCTTGAGTCAAAAGCATGAAAGCAGTTAAACGTCTGTGTGTCTCCGAGCGGCCACATTATCCTCTTATTCCTGAACCTTTGAATGACACACACATTAATGTAACTAACGCTCCGTGATGCTAATTCGTCTGTCATGTGATTGGTTTATTTATCAGCTGCATCAGGCCTGCGAGGGCGCCGCTCTTCGTGGTTCAAGGGTCATTTCTGCCGAGGACATCCTGTTCCTGATGAGGAGGGACAAGGTGCGCAAAACTCACAGGAAAAAAATGTGTTGAAAAATGTATTAAATTGAGTATTTGAGTTGTAGCTTTGAAATGAATGAAATCCCCCTCTCTCTTTCTGTCTGCCTCCGTGTCCATTTCAGAGGAAGGTGGCGAGGTTATTGAAGTATCTCCAGTTTAGAGATTATAAATCGAAGCTACTCAAAACTCTAGAGGACGAAGAGACGCCACAAGAAACGGGTACAACCGCTCTCACACGTCCTGTACGACCCGTGATCACTTTTACCTGGAGAAACAGTTGGGTCGGTTTTATTTATCCCCTGTGTTTGCAGACAGGTGGGGTGCTCAAGGTGCTCCGGGTACCGTGGGCGGCGTTGCCGGCGGTAACCAGCGAAGGCAGCGATTGGCTCACGACTTCCTGGCGTGGATGGATCAGACTGGAGAACTCCTGTCATTAGCCGAGCGACAAGAAGTAGATCCCGTCAAACAGGAGAGGTTGGAGGTCAGACGCTGATTTGACTGTAGAATTTATTTATTTATTTTTTACAGAAAATGTTGATTATTTAGTGTGTGTGTCGTTTGTCTTTGTATCTTCAGCGTTTAGAGCGTCAGACTCGAAATATGGACCAGGCTCAGTACTCCGAGTTCTGTGAGAGTCGGCAGCTCAGCTTCGGTAAGATTTTAATCAAATAATTTAGTCTAATAAACTGTTTTAATGAAGCTGGTAAAACCAAAGACATTAAGTTTGTATGGCTCCTTCAGGACTGATGTGTGTCGTTCCAAACCCTGTAATTCCTATATACTTTATACTAAATGTCGAACCTCTTTCGAGCTGAATTTAATCATCGATTTAATCTGTTGATTATTAATTAATTGATTGTTTAGTTTATAAAATGTCAGAAAATTGTGGGAAATACCCGTCAGTTTCCCAGATCAGTCAGTTTCCAGTAATAAATGAATAGGAGCGAAGACTAATTGATTAATCCACTATTTGCTTCAGCACTAAACCCAGTGAACTTTATGTGGTGTAAAATGTCACATTTAAAGATGAAAGTACACAGAATAATATTGTACTTTATGGCTCTGCTGGACATTTATGATTCTTTATTTCACTTGAAACATCTAAGACCCTCTGAAGTCCCATGACCCAGTCCTTAGGGTAGCATTTTAAAAATAATACCAAAACTACACGGAGCTATGAATGTGTAATGTGTGTAAAGCGCTTCGACTAGAAAAGTTCTACATAAATGCAGAATGTTGTGTCTGTGTGTAAACGCGGTTCCAGCTAAGAAAGCCTCAAAGTTTCGGGACTGGCTGGACTGCAGCACTTTGGAGCTGAAACCCAACAGCATCGCCATGGAGATCCTGTCATACCTGGCCTATGAGACTGTTGCCCAGGTAACGTGTTCACTCATGACGTCTTACGTTATCGTGTCAAGTCTCTCTCGTGTCAAACTCTTTGACGTCTCCTTTTTCTTTGTCGCTTTTCCTTCTCCAGATTGTGGATTTGTCTCTGTTGGTAAAACAGGAAATGATGGCCAAGACCAATCCCATCAGTCATGTGATCTCTGCCAGTTACATCCACTACAACACACACACTGAGGTACACACACACACTCCTGTACCATGTAATTTTCAATCACTTATACCAGGGTTTTGGAGCCTGCGGTTACGTCTCGAGTAATATCCGTCCTCCATCTTTCTCTTTCCGTCAGGTAAAGAAGGATCCAGACTCACCTGAGGCCACTCCCCCCTCCACACCGGGCTCTTCCCACTCATCAAAGCCCCTCCCACAGGGTAACGGCAGTCTAGATGGCCGAGCGAGACAGAGGAAGCGCAAAAAGGTGTGTGCGCTCTGTGCAACACTGGTTGTTTTTAGACAATTATAATAGTGACCAGTCTTCCCTGTTCCTACATGAAAACATGAAAGATTAAGATTACTTTAAAATGACTCCTGTCAAAAGCTCCGCCGTCGTTATAGCCTCAGAATATGACACGTTTTACATTCGGTCATTTAAAATATTTTCATTCTAATGTCAGGACGATGGGACACCCAATGTTCTGCCCCTGTATGATAATCAAAATGCCTCCTTCACACAACCAGGAATATATTTCTGCTGGAGAGATATTAAATCCCCACCATGTGTCCTTTGCTTTAAACTTCTTTAAAAAAGCAGACGACTTCTCAACTTGTGCACAGAGGCAAAGGCGGCTACGGTGGCGTCCCGTCTCGTGTGAATGAATACAGTGTCGTGTGTTTCAGAGCTGTCCGGCTGCAGTGGAACCTCCCAGTGGAGCCATCCAGCCCTGTCACATCAGAGAGGCTATTAGAAGATACAACTACAGACACACGGTATGTACACACAGCCTTTAACAGTACACTGATCAGGATAGCACCTATATAGCATATTATATCTTTTTCTTACAGTATAGTCTCTAAATACAACACTCAGATGCCATATGTTTGCTAACTTTGCTAAAGTGTTACTGTAATTATTCCTCCTCTCCATGCTGACTTTGAAGTCATCCTGAGGGAGTCACATAACAGTCCTCACGCTGTCCAAAGTTTAGCTGAATATGAACATGGTATCTTCCAAAGTTTAAGTCTTTAAGTATGAAATTTCTTCTTTGTGTTTCCTTTGTTGAGTTGCCGGTACAAAGAGGTAGCCACGTCAACTTCAACCGAACAGTAGTGTATTTTTGCACAGACCTTGGACTGTGGATTTTGTTACGGTGCAGTCAGTACAGTGTAGGGACACTAACTCTTCCAATAACACACTGTAAACCTGAAGAAAAGAATCTGAACTACTCTTTTGAAACAACGTATGTGACAGTGTGAATCCCTTCTCTCTTTCTCTCAGAGTGCGTACTGGAGGAGTGGGATGGCCTTCCTCGCCTGCTGAGCGTTATTACGTTATCACACACATTCTTGCACACATCTGTAAATGTATTTTTTTTTTGTTGCTGCAATAAAGAGTTTATACTTAGCTTTGTTAAAGAATATCAGATTGCACTTGTGTAACATCTACTCCACGGAAATACTTACTGCAAGGTCATTGTTGAAAAGAAACTTTATTGGTCACTAATACAGAAACACAAGGGACTACTGAGCATGCTCAAAACTCAGCGTGTGACATCATAGCAACATGAGCACATGGAGGCGGGGCTTATCTCTGGAATTGCCGCAACAATTGAATAATTGAAAAATGATAGAAGGGTTTAGTACGTCAACTTGGAAACCTTTGTGTTCCTCAGAGCTGCTGTTCGCTTGATATCTGTGTCTCCATGAGGAGGATTTGAGTGTGTGTAGCGTGTGTGTGTGTGTGATTAGCGTGTGTGTCGCTCAGTATTTCTGAGCGCTGTTGATCAGCGACTCCCTCTCCATCAGCAACTCTCCATATCTCTGCTGAAGCTCTCGCTCTCGCTCCATCTGCCTCTCCACGTCCTCCCGCAGACCCTGAGCAGAGATGGCGATAATTAGATTGTGTATGAGATCAGACACGTCTTAATCTTGTGACGGTTTGAACGATATTTGATCTTCCACACATGTAACTCTACCAAGCTACAGATCAATAGCAGCAGAAAATAGATGACTGGATTAACCTGTTAAAAATAAAACTTTAAAAAGTACATGTGAATAACAGGCAATAACAGGCTGGAGAAAACACATAACACCTTCGTAAATTACATTTAAGACTTTAAGACCTGCAGATATCACATTTGAGAAGTTAGAACCAACAGGTGTAATGAATAATCATTAACTGACTTCAGCACTAGAATACTGTAAACCTTTTCTGTTCAATACATTAACGTGATCAGAGTGAAGGATGCTGGGAATGACACCAAGCGACGATTCGCTCGCTCAGTATCGTGCGAGTATCTTGAATGTGTTACCTCTTGTCTCCTGGGAATGGCCGTATCTTCCTGTTTCTTCAGCTGAGTGAAGGTCTGGAGCTCTGTGGCTGCCTGCTCCACCTGGTGGACAACACGAAGCATAACATCAGTGTTGTTACAGTGCAACAGTCGCCGCAGTAATTCACAGCCTGCAGGGGAACTGGCTACAAACAAGTCAAACACTGATTATCCATCATCCGTTTTTCCACATTAAACTGCTGCATCTTTCAGCAAATTCTTCAGGAATAAGAAACTGAGACAAACTTCACCATCTTCTGACAAAAAATATGGATATGAACTAAATTTATACTGAGACTGAAGAATGAATAAGGAAGCGAGTCCCTGCAGTGTTCAGCACCTGTTCCCAGAGTTCATTGTGCTGCTTCAGGAGCCCCAGCGCTCTGGACTGAAACCCTCCCAGCAGGATTTTGAGCTTCTTCTCCAGCTTGGCCGCTCTCCTGGCCTCCGCTGTCATGTGACCACGGTTCACCTGCAGGGAGACATGTACACAGACCTCAGAGCTGTTCAGTGATTGATTTCAGGATGAGTTTGAACAGGTGTTATGCATCTCTGTGGGTTCTCACGTCTAGTTTTTTCTCCAGGCTTTCGATACGATCTTTCTTTGATGCCAGGTTAGCTCGGGTGTATCTGTTCTGACCAGGTAGATATAACACCTACAGAAAGAGAGAGAGAGACAGATGAATAAACAGCTACGGACCAAGGGTTGGTTTCATGTGAACAGGAAAGTGGTTAAAGGCAGTCCATCTTTAAAGAGTTAAAGATTCTCTCTGGCTGAATCCAAGTGTCCACCTTCAGGACGTGCAGACTGTCGTGTGTACAGTGACATCATCTCGTCAAGTCTGTGAGGGACCACTGACCCTCTAGGGAAAAGTATTTTTCTGAATGGTTCTTAATGGCACTGATATTGGCAATGTGTGCAGGTCAGCTGCTTCTCACAGCAGATCTGGAATGTGCAGTAAAATTATCCTTTTACATGAGCGGCCAAACACAATATAACGTCAACCTACGGATTATTACAAAGCCAGCTCATTCAGCATGTTCATTTTCTGTAAGTGCAAGAAGAAACTTTACTACATCAATAAATGAAAAATAAAAAGCAAATGTCTTCTAACTGCGGATTTGAACAGACCTGAGCAGTCACACACTTCAGTGGAACGAACCTGTAAAATCGGACCGTTTGGATTCAGCCTTTTGTCATTGTACTGAGGGACAGAGGGATCCTTACCTGTCCGTAGCATTCCTCCCACACCTGGCTGTAGGCCTCCATGCTGAGGTCACCGTGGCCCATTCCCGTCTTCACCACCTCCATTTCCGCTGCCAGCATTGCTTTAGCCTGTTTATTAACGAGCCACAGAGGTGCACGACTGGTTATATTGCTATCAAAAACCTTCCATTGTCACAGCGTCTCACTCACACACATGCAAAACATCAGCCGATCCGTGTGTGCGTTACCTGCTCCATCTCCTCTGTGCTGATCGGCTTGTAGGGGTGTGTTTCCAGGTAAGATATGTGCGACGCGTTGTTAGATGTGGAGGTGGGGCCTCTGCTTTTGCCGCGCTGCAGCTGGTTGGCGGCGTTGGCCGACGGGTGGTGCAGGCAGTCGTGGTGCAGCATGGTGATCATCTCCTGTTTGATCAGCTCCTCGGCCAACTGGAGGTCAGGGAGCGGCTCTATGGAGGCGGGACGGAGGACGGACTCGTTTACCTGCAGAGATGGATGTCGACAAACTGATTTGCTGAAACAAATGAAAGCTCTAATGTGCAATTATATATACACATACACATACACATAATCCACCTGGAGGAAAAGTCTCAATGTTGTTCCAACACAAAAACAATTATACAACAAAAGTTAATTAGACCAAGCGGATGCTTCACTGGGAAATAAAAACACTTCACAATGTCACAAAATGTGTTACCTCAGTAGGTCTGGGGAGACTCCTCTGAACAGCAGTGTGTCGCAGCTTCAGCTCCTTCTCTCTTTCTGCCTCCCGTACAGCCTGACACAAAACAAGAGCGTAAATTTGTCTTCAAAACTCTGAAGTGGTACGACGTGTTCTGAGTATATATCTGCGTATCTGTGCACACACCTGCTTGCGCGCCTCTATGTCGGCCGAGTCCTCCACGAACCCGGTGTCCGTTTCTGTTTCCTCGAGTTCTTTCTCTGCGTTTTCTGGAAGAACAATCTCAAAGTCGTTCTTAGGAACAGGAAGTGACATCAGTCCCTGCCTCAGCTGCTGCAGGCTTTCCCTTTGCTGTGCGTGGAGAAGAAAAGACAACAGTAAGTTTGCGGTTAATTCACAGACTTGTTCATTATTTATCTTATTAATTACTCTTAATTTTGCACATTTCAAAGTGAATAAATTGTAATTACAAACCACAAAACCTGCATTAGACAGTGCCTTCTTTTGTAATATTTTATTTTTTGTTTAAATATATGATTTCATGGTTTTGGCTGGTTACATTTACTACTACCACTGACTATCTGGCATCAGAAAACTTATATTGATGTTTTATATTGACAGTCTCACATGTGCATGATGAGTGTGTGCTTACCATGTGTTTAGCGTACGCAGGGTCAGTCAGTTGCTCCTCACTGTTAATATTCAGTTTGTCTCTCAGGGGTGTACGGCCAGGGGTCAAACCTGGGGTCGCGGCCCCACGCGGTGTCATCACTCCTCCGGCTTGAGGTGTCATGCTCTCTGACCCCTGACCTGGTCCGGGAGTTCTGTTACAGACGACGTGACCATGAACGTTAGCATTTTCAGTACCGCCGGGTTTGTCATTTAAACGCATGGTGTTATACGAGAGCAGGTGAAAGCGTTGTTGACCTGAATGGTGTGCTGAGAACGGTGTTGGGTGTCTGTATCTGCTGGCGCTGAGGCGTCACTCCACTGAAGTCGCTCTCATGCAGCGGAGTGTTGAGGCCTCCCTTCAGAGGGGTGTCGATGTTGGTCAGAGCCATCAGGTTCTGGGCCTCCTGAAGATACAGACACACACGACTTGTGAACGTGTGACAGAGAAAGGCGAATACGATCCAGAGATGTGGATGACGACTGTGCATGATGAACAGAAAGTGCTCAGAGTATCAACCACAGGTGATCAGTTTTAAGGTGATGGTGACTAGAATTAATTCTGTTTGACTGATCACATATTTTTAATGAAGATCTGCTGATCGGGGCATCCCTAATTCAGAGTGTGTGTGTTTATGGTGTCCAGGTGTTGTTACCTGTAGTATCCTGTCCTGGGCAGCAGGGGTGCGGGGGGTACGTAGTCCTGTTGTCATGGTGTTGGTGACGCTGTACTCTGACAGGAGGGTGGACGAGGCTGAGTTGCCGCTTTCGCTCTCCTCAGCGGCTTGACGGGCGACCTCACTGGCGACACCCAACTTAACGACTTCCTCCAACTCAGCGTCACTGATCTGTGAAAAAACGGAAATAAATACAGCGTCTGGTAAGAGAGAATACTGAGTGCATTAAAGCAGGACACGTTTGAACCATCTACATCGGTCTGAGAGATTTATCAAACATTAAAATTAAAGTATACACAGTTACCTGTGGCGCAGGCAAAACCAGTTTGGAGCGTTTCTTGGTGAACTCGGCCACTCCGCTGGTTTGGAGGATGGCAGACGGCAGATCGCTCTCTTTCTTCTTCTTTATCTTCTGTTTATCTTTCTTTCTATCCCTCTCCTCACGCTCACTACACACGAACAATACGGTTTATGAAAGAGGACCATACATTTATACAGCGTACACTGTGCGTCACTCATGCTCAATAAGTGTTTGTGTTTCATGTTTAATATTATATTTGTGTATATGAAGTTGCAGAGTAGAGGCTGTTGTTTCTGTGTATTTACTGTTCTTTTGTATGAAGCCTCTTTTGTGTTCCCATGTCAAACAAACTGTGTGTGTGTGTGTGTGTGTGTATATAGCGCAGTGAGTAATGTTACTGACTTGCGCAGCTCTCCGTCCAGGTGCTGCTGTCTGAGTCGTTTGAAGTTTGGTTCCAGTGCGTTGTACTGCTCCATGCTGGTGTCATAGAAACCCTTACAATTAAAAGGCAACAATTAATACTGTAGCT